GGGAGATGGGAGCTGCCCGAGCCCAGCTGCAGGACAGAGTGGCCTAAGGATGGAATAGTGCCCCCAGTGACAAAGAAGAAGGTCAAGTTCTGGCCTTGCTGTTTTACATTTGGGATACAAGTTCCTGTGCCTCCTGTTCCTTTTGTAGCGCAGGGAGATAATAATTGTTGTGAAAGTTAAACACCATTTGTAAAGCACTTAGCATAGTGTCTAATACATAGTAGGCACTGAGTAAATGTTAGCTATAATAATGATTATTTTTAGACTTTTGGATCCAGAATCTGTTCTTCTCTGGCCCTTATTTATTCATAGGACAAATTCACCATCTGCTGCATGCTGGGCTGGGTGCCGAGGCACCTGGGGTACACAGACTATGTCAGAAGAAGGTCCTGCTCTTGGAGCTTAAGGACAAAAAAACAAGTGTATGAGGGTTGTGAAGGAGAGATTAAGGTGGCTACAGCATCATCTGTAAACCTAGGACATCCAGGGGCTGGACATCCAGGGCCCGACACCCTCACCCCCACTACCTTCTTCAGCTCCAAGTGTCTGCAGGGAGATTCCCTCAAGTCCTCTGAACTTCTTCTTCAGGGTTTTCTGAGGAGCTTGGGCTCACTGGGCCTGTCTCTGTCTCAACTAGGGTGGGCAGAGCAGGCCATCCCCTAAACAACAGTCTTGGCTTCCCAGCCCCAGCCTGGCAGAGCACTAGCCTCTGGGTTTTAATGAGCTGCCCTGGGTTAGAAACAGGACGTGACTGTGGCTGGCTGAGAATCCCGAAGATCTTATTAAAGAATCATCTCCCTTGTACTTTGGGCTGAAATGCTCTTTCCAACCAAGGATCAAAGCAAACTTGACACACGTTCTCTCATTAATCTCCCCATCCCCTGGGGCAGGAGCAGACCGGTAGCTGTTTTCTCTCGATCTCAAAGGGGGAAGCTGATGCGACATCGACCTGGTATGGCTTGTGGAAAGACCTCCTCTTCAGTCAGATGCTGAATAGGGACCAGGACCCAGGCATCCTAGCAGCAGCTGTGCCAAATGTCACCCACACTTGTGCCCCATGCCCCCAGCACCATCTCAGGAAGAAGGAAAATATCTCATTAGGCAAACAGACTCAGCCACACTGGCCCTCAGGAGGCAGGAGGAAAGAACTGTAAAGGTTACGCTCACTCCTTTGCCAGTGCCCTTTTTAATTTCCTGCTTAGAATGTTAGACTGCTCTGTGGCTCCTCCTCAGCTAAAGCACTCCCCATGGGGAGCTGGGACTGCTGAGAAATGTGGACCCAGGCACCCTCTGCCTTCACTTCCCCAGGTCCCAAAGTGGGGTTTCCTGGGGGTGGGCCTGCAAGAATAGGAGACAGAAACCTTCTCTGTTGAAAATTAGGTATAGCCAGATGTAGTGGCTCACCCCTGTAATCCCAGCACTTTGGGAGGCCAAGGCAGATGGATCACCTGAGGTGAGGAGTTCACAACCTCCTGGCCAACGTGACCTACTAAAAGTACAAAAATTAGCCAGCCATGGTGGTGGGCGCCTGTAATCCCAGCTACTGGGGAGGCTGAGGTAGGAGAATTGCTTGAACCCGGGAGGCGGAGTTTGCAGTGAGCCGAAATCACACCACTGCACTCCAGCCTCAGTGACAGAGCAAGACTCCATCTCAAAAAAAAGAAAAAAGAAAATTAGGTACAGTCCATGTATTTGAAAGTGTTTTCAGAATACAGAATGCTAATTCCATAAAAGGGATTATAATTATACAAACTAAGGGACTATTACAACGATGCAATCATTGTAGCATAATATATAATATCACTATAAGGCAGTATAGCCGGCTGTGTAGTCAGACTGCCTGGATTGGAATGGGGCTCCATCACTCACTAGCATTGAGACCTTGGGCAAATTGCTTAACCCTCTCTGTCTCAATTTCTTCACTGAAAAATGAGTATAATAATAGTATCCATCTTGTGAGATCGCAATGGGGATAAAAGGATATGATATGTGTAAGGCGCTTTGAACAGTTTCTGACATAGTGAGCACTTAGATAATATGCTTACTATGGCAATCTGATTGCTGGGACAGGAATAGAATTACATACATGTAAAAGGATTATGGTTGGTTGATCTTTTTTCTTCTTTTGTATGGGGAAGAAGTTTAGGGATGAGGGGATAGGAGTTTCAAATCAGCTCAATTCTGTCTGATTCCCCAAGGAAAACCTTAGTTATTCACTAGAGTGTCAGGTAGAAACCCTGCTTTTCTTTGCTGAATGACCTTGGTCTTTGTGATCCATAAGTGGAATCTCGTCATTACCTGGAAGGCATCCATCTATTCATAATGCCCAGGAACAGCCCCTGATCCTCACCCCTGTCAATATGTCCCTAGAGTTGGGCTGAACTTTTCCAGCATGACTTCTGCATTCCAAAAATTCTGTCCCCGCCCTTGGTACACTGTTTCGAAAAAGAAATGAAAAACCAGGGAGAGAGGTCTGGGGCAGATATAAGAGAAAATGAGTAAATCTGTGTTTGGAATTATTACCAGGTCAACATTAGGAAATCTGTTGTGTCACCCTCTACATTAATAGATTAAAGGAGAACTATGTGTGATCATTTCAGCAAGTGCCAAAAAGCATTTGATAAAATTCAACACACATTCCTACCTTCCTAATGGGCAGTGGAGGTGGGGAACTAAATATAGAAGAGCTAAAAATAGAAAGTAACTGTCATTATTTGCAAACGATGTTATCATTTAATTGAAAGACTTAAGAGAATCGATGACAATCTATTAGAACCAATAAGGGAGTTCAGCAATGTACCCAAATACAAGATCTGCATGCAGAAATCAGTAGCTTTCCTATATTCTGGAAAAAAGGAGTTTGAAAATATAATTTTAAAAGGAACAGGTGTACGCAATGGCTCACTCCTGTAATCCCAGCTATTTGGGAGGCCAAGGCGGGTGGATTGCTTGAGGTCAGGAGTTCGAGACCCTGTCTCTACTAAAAATGTAAAAATTAGCTGGGTGTGATGGTGCTCACCTGTAATGCTAGCTACTAAGGAGGCTGAGGCAAGAGACCCTGGGAGGCAGAGGTTGTAGTGAGCTAAGATTGCACCACTGCACTCCAGCCTGGTCAACAGCAAGATTCAATCTCAAAAAAATAAAAATAAAAAAGAAGCCTATTAATAATATAGCAAAGATCATGTAATAACTAGTAATAAACTTATCAAGAAATGTATAATACCCATGTGAGGAAAATTGTAAAATTTTACTAAAGACTGTAGAGGTGTGAATAAATGGAAAGAGATATCAGTTCCTAGGTGGGAACATGATACTGTAAAGATGCCAGCTTTCCTCATATTAATCTATAAATTCAAAATAATCCAAATTAAAATCTTAGCAGGATTTTTCATAAAACTTCATAAGCTGATTCTAAAATCATATGTAAGATTGGGTGCCTAAAAATAGCCAAGAAAAAGAGCAATGGGTTGATCTATGATAAAACCACAGTAATTACAACAGTGAGGTACTGGAAAAGGAATGGACATAATGAAACAGAAGGGAGAATCCAGAAACAAATTCATATTCCTTTTTTTTTTTCAGACAGACTCTCTCTGCCACCCAGGCTGGAGTACAATGGAGCCATCTTGGCTCACTGTAACCTCCACCTCCCAAGTTCAAGTGATTCTCCTGCCTCAGCCTCCCGAGTAGCTGGGATTACAGGCGCCCACCACCATGCCTGATTAATTTTTATATTTTTAGTAGAGTTGGGGTTTCACCATGTTGGCCAGGCTGGTCTCAAACTCCTGACCTCAGGCAACCTGCCCACCTCAGCCTTCCAAAGTGCTGGGATTACAGGAGTGAGCCACCATGCCGGGCACAAATTCATGTTTCTATGAGACTTTAGTTATGTTAAATTTGGCATTTCAAATTGGGGAAGGAGGAATGCACTATTCAATAAATGACCGTGAGGATAATTGCTTACCAATTAGAAAGAAAAGATATTAAACCTCCTCACACAGTTTACACACAAAAAAATTCCATCTCCATGATGACCTAAATGTGAGAAATAAAAAGTATTAGACAGAAATAAGAATGTTTATTACCTAGGAGAAGAAACATCTTCTTAAGTATGATATAAAAGCTGTAAAAGAAAAGATTGACATGTCTGAACATTTAAGTATTGAAAACTTCACTATGGCCAGGGTAGGATTTTTTTTCCAGGAATGCATGGTTGGTTTGATACCAGGAATAATATTAAATAAATTACCGTGGCAACAAAATAAGGGAGAAAAAAAGGGCATAAATATATTGGGAGTTGCTGAAAGGGCGTTGATAAAATTCTAGACTTTCCTAATAATAACCCAAGTAAAACGAGAATAGAAGAAATTGCTAATGTGATAAAGACTACTTATATAAAACTAATGTCTAAATAGTGAAGCACTAAAGCCATTTCCTTTAGAATCAGAAACAAAACAGGAATGTACATTATCATCATCATTATTCAACATTTTTTTAGAAGTTCTAGACTGCAGGCCGGGCATGGTGGCTCATGCCTATAATCCCAGTACTTTGGGAGGCTGAGATGGGTGGATCACCTGATTGGGAGTTCAAGACCATCCTGACCAACGTGGTGAAACCCGTCTCTACTAAAAATACAAAAAATTAGCCGGGCATGGTGGCAGATGCCTGTAATCCCAGCTACTCAGGAGGCTGAGGCAGGAGAATTACTTGAACCCAAGAGACAGAGGTTGCAGTGAGCCGAGATCGCACCATTGCACTCAAGCCTGGATGACAAGAGCGAAACTCTGTCTTGGAAAAAAAAAGTTCTAGACTGCAATAGACAAATGAAATATTTGGTATGAGTATGAAGAAGAAAAGGTAAAAAATTTTTCCTCTTCTAATACATAATTGTATACTTAGAAAACCCAGTAAGTTCTAATAAAAATAAATGAAATTAATAAGAGAGTTTGGGGGTGGTAGATTTTTTTTATTATTATTTCAAATTTAAAATCTTTAATTATATAATGGAACACTTCACGAATTTGCGTATCATCCTTGTGCAGGGGCCATGCTAATCTTCTCTGTATAGTTCCAGTTTTAGTATATGTGCTGCCGAAGCCAGCACTGGGGGTGGTAGATATAGGGTGAATACATAAAATTGGTAGTGTTACTCCATACTAGCAATTATCAGCTGGAAATGTAAATCGGGAAAAGTGTTCCATCCACAAGAACAATTAAGTACATAAAATACCTGAGAATTATATTAAAAGGACAATTAACAAATAACTGAAGAGATAGAAAACTATAAAATCTTATTGAGGGACATAAAAAAATATCTAAGCAAATAGAAAGGCAGTAGCCACAATCTTGCCTGAAAGGGTTTAATACACTTGGCTGCTAAAAGCTTATGTAAAGTAAAAAATAAAATAATAGGCTCAGTATAATAAATATGCAAATGTAATGCAATTCAAACTGGAGTCCCAATAGGATTGTTGTGGGAAGAGGGAGTTCTGGGTAAAGTAGCATAATACATGCCTGAAAATAGCTAAGAAAGCTATAGAAAAGAAAGAGTAATGGGCCAGGCGCGGTGGCTCAAGCCTGTAATCCCAGCACTTTGGGAGGCTGAGGCAGGTGGATCACGAAGTCAAGAGATCAAGATCATCCTGGTCAACAAGGTGAAATACCATCTCTACTAAAAATACAAAAATTAGCTGGCATGGTGGCGCGCTCCTGTAGTCCCAACTACTCGGGAGGCTGAGGCAGGAGAATTGCTTGAACCCAGGAGGTGGAGGTTACGGTGAGCCAAGATTGTTCCATTGCACTCCAGCCTGGGTAACAAGAGCGAAACTCCGTCTCAAAAAAAAAGAAAGTGTAATGAAGAAGTTGTTGCCTTACTATCTTGAAAGCATACTGTAAAGTAATATCATGGAAACAGTGTGGCACTGGCCCAAGAATAGACAGAGACACTTACAGGCCATAAATGGTAAGAAAAAAAAAGGATAAACAAATGGATTCATGGAACATACTATAAAGCCCAGTGAGTGACCTCTAAAAATATAGTCATTTGAGTATGACAAAGATAGTATTTCAAATGAGAAAGAGAAAAATTGGTCATGGCACAAATATTTTTACTCTTGAGGGATAAAACAGAAACCAGCCATTGGGAGTGGGTGGAGGGGGCCTTGGAGTGCTGGGGGGGCCACTTGGTCAGGCCTGGGGTGGAATTGGTTCTCAACTCCGCCATGTCTCGCCCAGGTATCACCACAGTGATGGCAGTGGAGGACAGTACACTGCAGGTGGTGGTGCGGGTGCGGCCCCCCACCCCTTGGGAGCTGGACAGTCAGCGGCGGCCGGTGGTGCAGGTGGTGGATGAACGGGTACTGGTGTTTAACCCTGAGGAGCCCGACAGAGGGTTCCCTGGCCTGAAATGGGGCAGTACCCATGATGGCCCCAAGAAGAAGAGCAAAGACCTGACGTTTGTCTTTGACCGGGTTTTTGGTGAGGCGGCCAGCCAACAGGATGTGTTCCAGCACACCACACACAGCATCCTGGACAGCTTCCTCCAAGGCTACAACTGCTCAGGTGAGAACCTCAGCCCTACCTGGCAGCAGCCTGGCCTCCCTGCCTCAGGAGAGGGAAGGGTTTCATGTGTCTTCTGGCATGTGTCCAGTTCCCCCTAGCTGGGCACGATTTACTGAGGAGTTTTGTACGGATGTCCCATCATGCTCTGTGGGCCCCCCATTCATTCATTCAATCATTCTATGTGGGAGGCACTCTACTGGGCCCAGGGCTGCAACAGCAAATCAGACAGGATGGTCCCTGGAGGAGTGAAGACACCTCTCATATCACACCCACAGTGTCTGGGGTAAGTGGTGAGAGGGAGATGACTGTGGGCCTTCACCGAAAGCAGCCTCGCCTGCAGAAGGAAAGCATAGCCCGCACCCATAGTGGAGATCCAGTCCTCCCAAATCCACTGGCCTAGCAGGGAGCAGAACAAACACACAGAGAATACCAACCCTGCAGCAGGAACATGGAAGGTTGGATTAGTGGGAGCAGCGGAGCAGGGAACACAGGCGGCCTAGTGGGGAGGAGGGAAAAGCTGAGCTGGGTGGCCAGGCACTGGGGTCCTCCCAATTCTGGGGTCCTCTGCAGTGTTTGCCTACGGGGCCACCGGGGCTGGGAAGACACACACCATGCTTGGAAGGGAGGAGGACCCCGGCATCATGTACCTGACCACTGTGGAACTGTACAAGCGCCTGGAGGCCCGCCAGCAGGAGAAGGACTTCAAGGTGCTCATCAGCTACCAGGAGGTCAGCTGCTCCTGCCCTAGGCCTCGTTCTCACAACTACCTGCGGGGAAGTGAGCCCATGGGGTGGAGTGAGCTGGTGTCGGACAGAGTGGCAGGAAATGGAGAGCTGGGGCCCCTCAAGGGGATAGATATAGCTCAGTGAGATATTGCACTAGAGACACCCGCCCACTCACCCTGCTGTGGTCATGTAACGCAGTCCTGGGAAGCGCCACTCTTATGGGTGTCTCAGACACACCCTGGCCTCAGCTCCCCCGTTCAGCCGCTAGGGAGAGGTTTCCTTATGGGCCACTCCCCCTCAGGCCTCTTCCTTGCTTCCTTTCCCAGGTGTACAATGAGCAGATCCACGACCTCCTGGAGCCCAAGGGGCCCCTTGCCATCCGCGAGGACCCCGACAAGGGAGTGGTGGTGCAAGGACTTTCTTTCCACCAGGTGTGGGATTGGGCTGGGGTAGGATGATCGGCCCCATGGGTCCTTGGGGTTCCCTCACAAAACCGTTTGGGGATGCCCTGGGTCCTGTGGTGGTGGGGGCAGTGGTGGGGGCAGTGGTGGTGGTAGCAAGTGGGTGACATAGGTTCTGAAGAGCAGCCCTTCCTGTTAGGGGAAAGGTCCTGGTCAGAGAACCCACAGCCCTGTTCCTGGGCCTCTCCTCTGTAGCCAGCCTCAGCCGAGCAGCTGCTGGGAATGCTGACCAGGGGGAACTGTAACCGTACGCAGCACCCCACTGATGCCAACGCAACTTCCTCCCGCTCCCATGCCATCTTCCAGGTGAGGAGCCACGGGTCAGAGCCTGAAGCCAGGGCTCCTGATGCCCAGCTCCTCCTCACCCCTGCCATCTGCCTTCAGATCTTCGTGAAGCAGCAGGACCGGGTTCCAGGACTGACCCAGGCCGTCCAGGTGGCCAAGTTGAGCCTGATTGACCTGGCTGGCTCAGAGCGGGCATCCAGCACCCATGCGAAGGGGGAGCGACTGCGGGAGGGCGCCAACATCAACCGCTCTTTGCTGGCGCTCATCAACGTCCTCAACGCCCTGGCCGACGCAAAGGTAAAGCAGCACAGACCAGTGTTTTCTCCAGGATAGCAACCAAGCTCCTGATCCCAGGGCCCAAAGGCCACAGGGCCCCATCCTGGGTCAGTGCCATCAGCCGCCTGACCCCACACCCGCTTACTGACCCCCAGGGCCGCAAGACCCATGTGCCCTACAGGGACAGCAAACTAACGCGTCTGCTCAAAGACTCCCTTGGTGGCAACTGCCGCACAGTGATGATCGCTGCCATCAGCCCCTCCAGCCTGGCCTACGAGGACACGTACAACACCCTCAAGTATGCTGACCGGGCCAAGGAGATCAGGCTCTCGGTGCGTGCCAGGCAGGGCCGGCTTGGGTGCGGGGCAGCTCCAGTCCTGGAGTGGGAAGGTGCGGGACCCAGGCAGCTCCCACAGATCCTTGGGCCAAGTGTCCCCAAAGCAGAAAAAAAGTTCTGGGCCAGGCGTGGTGGCTCACACCTTAATCCCAGTACTTTGGGAGGCTAAAGCGGGCAGATCACCTGGCTGGGCAACATGATGAAACCCTGCCTCTACTAAAAATACAAAAATTAGCCGGGCATGATGGTGGTGCCTATAATCCCAGCTATTCCAGAGGCTGAGGCAGAAGAATCACTTGAACCCAGGAGTTGGAAGTTGCAATGAGCTGAGATCTGAGATACCGCCACTGCACCCCAGTCTGGGTGACAGAACTAGACTCTGTCTGAAAAAGAAGAGAAGTTTCTCAGTCTTCGGAGTCTTTGTGATAGAAGTGACACAGTCCCCATCCCTGAGTGGGAAGCCACCAGCTAAGAGAGGCAAGATGGTCTCCAAAACCAACGGCGACGGCAGGAGGGTGGCCTCTCATTGGCCAGTGATCTAGTTCAGACTTGTTTTTAGCAGCAGGAGCATATTTTCAGCAAAACATAAACATCAATATGTGCTTCTGCCACATCTGCTCGACCCCTCCCTCTGGCCCTCCCCCCAGTGAGCCCTGGCTGTCCTGGGACCACTGCAAGAACACACTAACCATGGCAAGACGGTCTTAGTCGTGGAGTCAGGGGTCTTCTGCCCCTTGCTGTGGTCTCAGGCACAGTACTGACCTTCGCTGTGTCTCTCTACTTGCGAGGGTGGGTCATGGGGACGTGGCTGAGACCTAGTGCAGTTCCTGTCCGTTGGAGGTGGCTGATAAAAGCTGCTTTGAATGAACAAATAAATCTCTCTCCTGTGCCCCATCTCAGCTGAAGAGCAACGTGACCAGCCTGGACTGTCATATCAGCCAGTATGCTACCATCTGCCAACAGCTCCAGGACGAGGTGAGGTGCCCGCCTTGGGGGCTGGCTGGGGGCGGGCAGAGAGCCAGAGGTAGGAGCTTGAGGGTGCGGCGGGGGCTCTGTCTGCCCCTCCCCTCCTGTGCTTAGCTGGGGCTCTCAGGGGCTGGGCTGCTTCTGTTCTAGGTAGCCGCTCTAAGGAAGAAGCTAAAAGTATATGAAGGGGGAGGCTGGCCCCCACAGGACCTCCCAGGAGCCCCCAAGTCAGAACTACCACCACAACAGTGAGTTCTACTGCCCGTTCCTTCCCCCACCCTGCAGCTCAACCAGGACGGGGAGCCAGTCCCCCTTGTCTAGTTTCTAGAGGACTAGGGCTCCTTGCTTCTGCTCCAGTCCCTAGGGCTAAGGGTTTGCACCCAGTGCCTGCCCAGCAACTGATTGTCACCTAGAATGCTCTGTGTCAAATGAGTAAATGGCACCCCAGCCCCTATGAGTGGGATCTACTATTCGAGAGAAGGTGAACTTAGGGGTGTGTGTAATTGTCTCTCAAACCAGAAAATCCTGACTTTTCCTACCCTCAGCTACTGCCCATTTGTCACATAAGCATCTGTCCCTTATGGACTCTATATGATCTGGGTGCCACAGAGATCCCACCTGCTCCCTGCTCTCCCACCTGCCCCACATCCTGCCTCTCAAACCCTCCTTTCTCACTTAGCCTTCCCAGCTCCCTCTTTCCACCCCACCCTTCCAGCCAGCCCTGCACGTCAGAGCTCCCTGCAGGGCCTGGAGCCCTTCAAGAGGAGAGTTTGGGGACAGAGTCCCAGGTGGAGAGGGTCATGGAAGGGACCTCTTCAGACCAGGAACAGTGCCCAAAGGACCAGGATGAAGGCCCAGCTGAGGAGGTAGGGCTTGTGGGTGTGAGGCCTGGGTATCAGCAGGGCTTGGAGCTGGCCGGATATTGGAAGAAATGCCTCTCTCAGACTCAGAGTCCCTTCAGTCCCATCTCTCTACGTGGTTGTCTTTGCACCTTAGTCAGGAGGCTTTCAGATCCTGTGCAGGAAAGAGAAATAGTCTATGGGATCCTTGTGTGTTTGGAAGTGACCAGGACCTAGTCATTCTAGGAGCTGTCATTTCCACTCTTGGAGGAGGGAAGGATTTTAGAAGCTGTTTATAAAGGTGGGGAGGCCATCCTGGTTCCTCTACCTGTGCCTTCTCCTTCCTCTTTAGGTTCCAACCCAGATGCCGGAGCAGAACCCCACACATGCATTGCCAGAGTCCTCTGGCCTGACCCTGCAGCCCAAGCTAGTCATGGGCCACCTCTCAGCACAGGAACTGGACAAGGACCGTTCTAAGCAGTAGGTATCTTCTTGCTATACTCTGGAATCCAGGTGGGAAGCGATGGGTTCAGCCTCCCTGGGGGTGGGAATTGGTGTTAAGCACATCACAAAAGCTCTGTCTCTTCATCAGCACTGTCCTTTACGTGGTTTCACCTCCTTGATGTTATTATCACCTACTCGATTAACTTATCATCACCTCTACTTACTCCTCTACATAGCTGGCCGCCCAGCAGGAGAGGGAAGCAAAATGCCAGAGTCCATCCAGGCAGCCAGCAGGCCCCAGGTCAGGGCAGCGTGGCTGGGGTAGTGTTTTGCTTTGCAGTCTGAGGCCAGGCTGCCTGTCCACAGTGAGAAGGGGGCCACCAAGGGAAGATAAAACGTCAGTCTGGGGCAGGGACAGCCTTCCTGAGCCAATGTTTATCGTGTGTCTTCATCAACGGATTGACTGTGGCTATTTTTTCTCAAAAGTAAATACAAATCATGACTCAAAGCGAAAGAAAAATGGATTTTGGACCATTCTTTCTATGCTTCATAGAAAGATGCTGCTAATATTTTTCTCCTTGGCCCCCAGTTCCTAAATCTCCTGCCACTTAGCTCTGCTACTGCCATCCTGCTCTTCCCTCCCCAACACGCTTCACGCTAGGCAGTGTATTTAAAGCTTCCGGACAGAAGGGCCTGTTTAATTTTATTTCTTGTTGGGGAGTGTCTGTTCCCGACTCAGCAAAAATGCTGCAGTCTGAATAATCGGCAGCTCATTATCTGTCTCCTGCTATCGGGGCCTGCCTGGGGCCCTGGAGAGGCAAGGATGTGCTGGTGGGACATCCCTCTGATCTCCCAGGGAACAACCATGAGTTCCTACTGATGACCCAGAGTCACTCTGCTAGTGGTCCCCTGTTATGAGGAGAGAGGACACCAGGGTCCTTATTTCTGCTCTGGCTTTGTGGTCTCCAACAAATTGCTTCAACCTTGGCCTTGACTTGGGGATCATAGCCCCCAGTCTTCCTACTTCTTGGGGATGAAGTACTAGTAAAATGTGACAAATCTCCATGTTTGGAAACGTCCTAACAATCAGATAGTTGAAAATAATTTCCCTTTGATTTTAGAATTTAGAATCTTAGACCACTAGGGCACCGAGTAGATCTTAGATTTTCCGGTTCAGTAGTTTCTTCAGATTTTTTTTTAATTGTTTTTAGCTACAAAATTCTTTCTTCAAATGAAATCTTATGCTGAAGTCTAATATGTAGAACAGACAAAACAGAATTATGATGGGTTTTTGAAACCTAATTGGAAAGTTCCTGATGTAGAGCAGCTCCCCATTTGTCTGATCGGGCACTGAGGCCTTTGCCCAGACTTACATAGCAAGAGGGACAGGGTCTGACATCCAGGCCTGAGCATTTCCCCCAAACGCCCACTCTTCGCAATTGTCTAATCTTCCCTGTGATGTGTGGCTCGTGTAGATATAGAATGAGTTTCTGCTGTGTCCATTTTAATTTATATCTGAGGCTGCTTTATAAAATGATTCTGTGTTCCCTGAGCACACCCTGACTGAGGGCAGTGGAGGAGGGTTCAGAGATGTCCTCCGTCTCAAAAAAGAAAGAATTACCTGAGGATAAATCATTTTCCATGGATAATTCCCACTGAGATAATTGTGTTTATTCTTTTATCATAGGTTTGGCTTACAGAAAGAGAATGTGCTCTATTAGAATCTAAATTTACAATATCAATAATTGCATTACCCTCATAATTTCCTTTAACTAGCCCCCTTAGTGCCTATGAAGTATGCCTTGATTCACACAGACTTTTTCAGGATCCCAATCATTTAATAGAAAGCATAGACTGAATGTGTTTTTGAAGGCCGTCTTAGAACCACAATGAACACAGCCTATCTTACATAATCTCCTCTTATCCTAACCAGAAAGAAGGTATTACTTCCAATTAACAGGAAACAATAGTTAGCTAGACCTACAATGCTTATTACATGCCTGGTATTCCATAAACATTTTGTATGTAAAACAACTCATTCAGTCTTTCAAATAACCCTATGAGGTGGGTGCATTTGTTATCCCCATTCTAAGGGTTGCGGAGACTTAGGTTAACCAGTGCATACAAGATCACACAGCTGGGAGATGTTGGAGCCAGGATGTGAGTGGGAAGCTGTCAGTCTGACTTGAGCCAGGTTCTTAACTGCCCACTTGCACTGCCTTAGGGTAGATGAATTCATGATCACAGCATTAGTAAGTGGCAGAGCCAAGAAGAGACTCAGACCTTCCAAGTCCAAGGCCACCTAGTGGCCTCTGCCTACTTCTCAGATTACTGTCTTTGTCATGGGGTGTGTTTAGTGGAAGACACCTCCCACCATTACCTGTGGCCATCCTGGCTGGCCTTGGCCTTCAGCAAAGGTATAGCAGAGCCAGAGCTGTGGCTGGGAGAGTGTTGAGTCTGGCCAGCCTTTCTGAAGCGAGTCAGGAGGGAGCCAGGGGACCAGTTCAGGCTCAACTACAGTTGGAGGGATGGGGACAGGTGCATGGCATAGAGGCTCCTGGTCAGGCTGGGTCTGTGTCAGGGCTAGGAATCCCCTTCCTTCTGTTCCAGGTTGGCCCTAAAAATGCTGTGCCTGGCCCAGCGGCAATACTCCCTGCTCCAAGCAGCCAACCTCCTGACCCCCGACATGATCACAGAGTTTGAGACCCTACAGCAGCTGGTGCAAGAAGAAAACATTGAGCTCGGGGCAGAGGCCTCTAGAACTTCGGGCCTGGCCGGAGGGTCACCTCTAGCTCAAGAGCTGTGTTCAGAGTCAAGTGAGTCTCACCCTGCTCTGCCCTGCCTATGGGTGCTGTCTCTTAAGTCCCCACTGGGGCCAAGGGGTATCCAGGGGCCTCAGTTGCTAGGTTTTGCTGCTATAGGAGGCTGATCCCCGGGATCCAGACTTGTGCACACAGAGAGGTGCCAGGAGACCTGAGGGGTTATGGGCTCCTTCATGTCTCCAGTGTCTGGCTCTCCAAGTTCTACAAATTCTCCGTCCTTCTGTGCAGTCCCTGATCTTCCCTCAGCAGCCTCCTCCTCTTTGCCCAGAGCCTTTGGGATATACTGGCCCTGTGACCCGGACCATGGCGAGGCAGCTGAGTGGCCCCCTACACACGTTGGGGATTCCACCTGGACCTAACTGCTCCCCAGCCCAGGGATCCCGATGGCCCATGGAGAAGAAGAAGAGGAGGAGACCACGCCCCTTGGAACCAGACAGTCCCACGGCCCTAAAGCGGGGCACCAAGCGCCAGCGCCAGTCCTTTCTGCCCTGCCTGAGGAGAGGGTCTCTGCCTGATGCCCAACCTTCACTGGGGCCCAGCACCCCCAAAGGAGAAAGGGGCTCCTCCCCCTGTTCTTCCCCCCACTTCTGCCCAGCCACAGTCATCAAAAGCCGGGTGCCCCTTGGTTCTTCGGCCATGCAGAACTGTTCCACCCCTCTGGCCCTACCCACTCGAGACCTCAATGCCACCTTCGATCTCTCTGAGGAGCCTCCCTCAAAGCCCAGTTTCCATGGGTGCATTGGCTGGGACAGAGTCCCCCAGGAGCTGAACAGGCTAGACCAACCCTTCATCCCCAGGTGGGTCTCCCAGTCTCATTCCCACCCCTCCTGTCAGGGGTCAGTGGTCAGCAACGGACTTCTTGGTGCTGCCAAGAAGTATGGAGGGCAGCCTGACTCTTGGAGCTGGGATGGTTCCTATCTGTTCCCCTTTGTGATCCGCTTTGCTCCCCAGGCCCAGGAGAGCAGGACATACAGTTGCCAGGAGGCATGACTTCTCTTGGGGCCCCTGCCTGGTCTGTCCATGCTGCAAAGCCACGTGCTCTGTGCTGGTTTGTGGCATGCTCATGAGTAGCTAACGGGAGCCCAACTTGGAAAGAATCAGCAGGGAACAAGAATGAAAGAGGGGAGCCCGCCCCTACTGTTCCTCTCTTTACTTGGGCTCTTTGACCTGGGCTACATTCTATGTTCCACTGGGAAATACCTCTTTCTGCCACTTCTGCTACAGATTTTGGCCTCTGACTCAGCATCTGGAACAGGAAAGAGGGTCCTCAGAAAACTCAGTTCAGTATTTTCTAGTGAGAAGATGAAGCTCTCACTTCCCTTCCCACACACATGGCAGGCAGGGTAGGGGAACGGCAGCCAGCTCAGGACAGTCCAAGGCCAAGAACCAGTGGCAGACTGATATGCACCTGTGGGGCAGAGGCTGGCAGGCTGCCCGCCTGTGCCCCCCTCCCCTTCCACAGCCCAAGAAGCAGCTCAGTAACAACTGTGGAGCCAGGCAGGTGGAAGGGTGAAATTGTTTGAACTCCAGTTCCCTGGGTGCACTAGAAACTGGTATCTGGATGTCCTCCCAGAGCAGGCCTGTCACTCAGCTGTCAGCCAGGCCGAGTGAGGCAAGGAGAAGAATCCACTTCTTTGTATAAGAAACCTCAGAGGTCATCTTGTCCAACCACCCTCCCTCACATCCAAGCTGGGGGCTGGAGGGAGGAAGCGGCTGGCTCCGCTTCTGGTTCCCAGCTGATCAGCCTCCTTCCCCTTCCTCCCTCCCCAGGGGACCCATGCTCCTGTTCACCACAAAGGGCCCCAAACCAACATCTTCCCTCCCTGGGACCTCTGCCTGCAAGAAGAGGCGTGTTGTGAGGTAAGTTTGGGAGGTGTCGGCTGTTGGGGGGAAGGAGCTCTCACCAGGGCAGTGGACACCTGGGTTGACTCTGGGCCCCCAGTGTCTCTGTCTCTGGATCCCCGGAGCAAGCAGCTGAGGTCCTGTGAGCAGGGCCAGCATCTAGTTCTCCAACTGAGTTTCCTTGGTCCTTGCTATCTCAGGATCACCCCACAGCTGATTCATGAGGATGGCACTCAGCACCCATTGATCCATGAGGGAGGCAGTGCACACCATTCATCCAGTGAAGGGACTCTCCACCCTCCCTACTACTTCCCTCCCATGGTCCCAGCCCCACGGACTGCCTCTACCGCCCTCAGATCCTGTCCTGGAAGCTCCCACTGGTGCCCAGCATCCTTTGATCTCAGGGCTTAGTGTCAAATACTTAAACCCCCAACTCAACGCACACCCATAGACCAGAGATGGCTGTAACCTTCCACCTTCCTTTCTTTCCTCAGTTCCTCCGTCTCCTGTGGCCGCAGCCGCATTGCCCGCCTCCCCAGCAGCACCTTGAAGAGACCAGCTGGACCCCTTGCACTCCCAGGTGACTGGCACTGGGGAGAGGGATAGCCTGGGCCATGGAGGCCAATGAAGACAGAAAGCAGGAGGAGACAGGGTGGGCTGGGACCCAGAAGAAAGGAGGGTCTGGGTATTGCCAAGCATCTCAGCTGCTGCTGAGAGGTGGAAGGTAGGCTGGAGGACAGCGGGACAGAGCTTTACTTTCCTTCCTCCCTGCACTCCCGCTACCCATCCCACCGGCCTGCAGAGCTGCCCTTGAGTCCCAGGTGCCCTAGCAACCAGAGGAGTGGAAAGGACCTCGTCAGGGTGGGGAGAGTGCTGTCAGCGGGGAACGGTGTCACCAAGGTGTCCTGACCACCAGGATGTCGGGACCCCCCCAACCCCACTATGCTGGACACCCCTCTTGGACCTGGAACCACCTGCACCAGGAGCCCAGACCTGCTTTCCTTACCTGGGAGCAATTAGTGCCAACACACCTTCGCCTGTATTACCATCCCTCCGCAGCCATCTGTCCTGCTATTCACCCTTGTTAATCCCCTGTTATACTCAGCTTCTTGCCATCTACATATTCATTTGAGTGTTAACATGTTGCTGGGTTTTTTTGTTTGTTTTGGTGTTTCACTCTATCGCCTAGGCTAGAGTATAGTGGTGCAATCTCGGCTCACTGCAACCTCCACCTCCTGGGTTCAAGTAATTCTCCTGCCTCAGCCTCCCAAGTAGCTGAGATTACAAGTGCCTGCCACCACACCCATCTAATTTTCAAATTTTTAGTAGAAACAGTGGTTTCACCATGTTGGCCAGGCTGGTCTTGAACTCCTGACCTTGCCCAAAGTGCTGAGATTACAGGTGTGAGCCACCGTGCCCAGCCTGTGTTGCAGTTTTAAAGGTGCTGCCATGTTCCCCCCTCATTTTTTGTTTTAATTTAATTTAATTTTATGAGACAGAGTCTCACTGTCGCCCTGGTTTGAGTGCAGTGGTGTGATCTCAGCTCACTGTAACCTCCACCTCCTGGGTTCAAGTGATTCTCCTGCCTCAACCTCCTGAGTAGTTGGGATTAAAGGCAAGTGCCACCACACCCAGCTTCTTTTTTTTTTTTATTATTTTTTTATTTTTAGTAGAGATAGGTTTTCATTGTGTTAGCAAGGATGATCTGGATCTCCTGACCCCCTGATGGCCACGGGCAGTGGAGGAGGAATAAGGATGAGTTGGGGAGTGGGGAGTCACAGCTTGGCTCTTCCTGGTTTCTGAGAGAGGGACATCTTCATCCCTCCTCCCCTGAGTCCCCAACTACAGTCCTGGTGAAGATGTGGATGATAATGGTGCCTTGATTTCCAAATGAAGACAGCTTTATTGTTTTACTCTATTGTAAATAGGATACACATTCAGTGTAAAATAAAGTGTAAAGAAAGGGGAATTCAGCCTTGATGCTGCACCTAGATATAAATGCTAATGATACTTGGGTTTATGGCCTTCTGATCCTTTATTTCTGCACACACACACATATATATACACACACACACACACGCACACACACACACACACACACACACGCACATTTTTGGTATAACAATAAACTGTCTCCATCCTTAGTGTGTGTGTTTCTCTGTGCACCTAGATAGGATAGCAGCACCTTTCCTTTCTCACCTCCCTACTCTTAAAACCTCAGGAAACTTCTGAGTGTATAGAGAAAGCAGTTTCCACTCTGCCTCCTCCTGGAGCCTGAGGTCTGGGCCTAGGTCTGAGCCCCGATCTTCACTCCACAGCTCAATCTGCCCTGAAGGGCTTCCTCTTCTCCAAGGTTTGGGAATAATTGCACCTGGAGGTCTACTCCAGCCTTCTACAGCCTTGGGGGTGGGGTGCTAGTGTTCCCCAGGTTTTAGGTGAGGTTCCAAGCTAAGCCCCCACAGGCTGAGTCCAGTGTAGTCGTCTTTGCCACCACCCCCCACCTGGTCGGTGGCTTCCATCTCCACTCCCTTGGATTGTTTGACAGTGCCACGTAAGTTTCCAGCCACTCTCCCCATGAAGACATGGTTGGCTGAATGAATTAATAGTGTAAACAAAATTACAGGAGGCTGTGTTTAACCTGATTCTAAAAATAAACATGTTAAAGATATTTAGTGCATTGTGAGTAGCATGTAAATAATGCTGCTAATTTCAAGTGAGTACTGGCTGTTCGAGGGGAGCAGCCCCTCAGCTCTGAGCCCTTTTGGTTTTTATTCGGTTTGGTTTTGAGATGAAGTTTCACTGCGATACCCAGGTTGTAGTGCAATAGCACAATCTTGGCTCACTGCAAGCTCTGCTTCCCAGGTTCAAGCGATTCTCCTGCCTCAGCCTCCTGAGTAGCTGTGATTACAGGTGCAGGCCACCACGCCCAGCTAAATTTTGTATTTTTAGTAGTGACGAGGGTTTCACCATCTTGGCCAGGCTGGTCTCGAACTCCTGACCTCAAGTGATCCACCTGCCTCAGCTTCCCAAAGTGCTGGGATTACAGGCATGAGCCACCGGGCCTGGCCCCTGAACCCTTTTTGGAGCAGAGGAGAGAACACAGCCAGGAGCATCGTGCACCCACTGGCTGCCAGGCCCTTCACTGAGCTGCACCACCTCATAATGGAGATAATGACAGGCTCTGAAAGGGTCACAAAGCTTGTCCAGGGTTAGACACAAGTGTTCTGGATCTGAGGTCTGCTTCTCTGCATCACACCAAGCTGCTTTCCTCTGGAAGTGACCCACGTCTGTTCACTTCCCTCTGGAAGTGAAGAGGACAGACATTTCATGTGCTTCAGGTTCCCTCCTTTCCAATTACTCTTAATGAGATTTTCCCCTACTGTGTACCATGATTTCTGAAGAAGCAGTCACAGATTCACATAATCCTAGCCCCCAGCAGCCTGGCATGGTGCCTCGACCTCAGGAGGCCTCTCTCAGTGTTGGCTGGATTCAAATTGAATAACATCCCCCATTTCCTGGGGTCTTCACTTATAATCTTATTTGATCATCACCATCACCCCTGCAAGTGCAGAGGTAGCAGGCACAGGGCAAGGCAGCTGGTAATGAGGGCCAGGAGGGCAGCCATCACCCAACAGGGCTCGTTGCACAAGGCAGAATTTTGCCTGGGCCAAGGGTGGCTCAAGTGGAAGAGGTCACTCTTGACAAGCATGTTCTACAGCCGGTCATTCACTCGGCAAACATTTGTGGCTCTGTGGTGCAAAATGTGTTCCCAGGTGACCCATTAAATGCACGAAGACTGTGCTGATGGAGTCAAGCACATGAGGCTCCTGCCCTCAATCACAGGAGGTCGGGCTGAGAGCGCTTGCTCTTGGTTGGCATCTCCACGCCGGGAGGCAGCCTGGCTGGTCTGAGCTTTGAGCTTCACGGGGAGCTGGCAGGGGCTCCGGGGGCAGTGAGCTGACAGCCAGCTCCCAGCTGACCTCTGTGGGTGGCGATGAGACTCTGGATTGTTCTTACATAAAAAGAGTCATCCATGACACGTGGCAATCGATAGCTCCCCATCTGCTGAGGGCCCAGCCTGGTCTCACGCCCCCCTCTCCCTGCCTCAGCCTGCCTCTTCCACCCTGAAGGCTCTGGCAGAGCCTCTCACTCCACCTCTGAGTTGAGAAATCCTTGTGCCCCAGGCCTTCTACGCCCACCTCCTTTCTTGACTCAGTCCCCACAGCTCATGCCTGGGCCCCCAGCCTAGGGTGCAAATCCTGCTCAGTTCAGAGAACCAGGCTCAGTGCCAAAGGCTGAAACAGAACAAGATATGGTCCCTTCACGCAGGGAATCAGGATGGCACCTGTCCCTATCACTTGAGTCTAAGCCAAAATCTCCATCAGTGTTGGTATCTGCCAAGGAGAAGGGATTGGGTTTTGTCTCTGGGTCCCCCTTACACAAGGCCATTAGCTTGGCCCACAAAGGAGATTTTCTCACCACCTGGGGAGCCTCCTTGGCGGCTACTAACTCAGGAGTCCTGCCTCCCAGAGCCCCAGATTCCCCCAGAAATGTCCCCTGACTCTTGGTCATGCCTGGGGGATCCTGGCTCCCAGCCAGAATTTGGTTCATGGTCATCTTTTTTTTCTTCCATGGTTCTTTTGTGAAGAAGGATTCCGGAGGGCTTGAGATAAAGAATGTGGGGCAGGGGAATCACCCCAGGGGCCAGAGATGGCAGCTATGTTTTCCAGCTCATCCCGAGGGCTTCCCAAGCTCACATGCAGCCCTCCTGCCTCCTTTCTCTGGCTCACCCTGTCCATTTGGAGGACTGCTGGGTTGGAAATAACAGGCCACCCGCCAGCCCTCTCCTCCCACCAGGGCCACATCTGCTCCCTGCCTTTCACCCTCCAGAGGCAGCCAATCAGGGTGACAGAGGGGAGCAGGGAGCAGAGCAGATCAGGGAAAGCAATTAAAAAGCTGCTCCCAGGGTTAGAGGCTGGAAGGTAGGGGGCAGGCTTCAGCGGGTCCTGGCTGGGGTGGGGAGAAGCAAGGGAGAACAGCCGGAGCTTATTAACCCCAGCTTGGCAACCTGGGGTCTGTGAAGGTGAGTGAACCGATGCTGATAAAGCCAGCGAAAAGCAAAGGGAAGGGGCCCAGGGTTCCTCCAGGAACCATTCTGCAGCCACAGGAATCAGTTCTAGACAGCAGAGCCTGGCTGGGCACAGGCTGAGGATGGGGGGAAGGAATGGGTCCTACCCTGAGGCAGCCCCCTCTCCAAGGAACAGGAGACAGCCCCTGCCCTCAAGGAGCTCCCTTCTGATAATGAACCATGGGTTCTAGCATTGGGGAGCCGACCATCCAAGGGAAGAGGAGACTCCCATCCTGTGGATGCTTTAGCCCGGAGTTGGGAGAAATACTTTCCTTGGAGAGACTCCAGTTTGCTGGGAAGACATAGGTCCTAGCATTCAGAAGTCCCCACCTGTTGGGGGAAAGGCATGGTCCTTCTCCTTTTAAAGCTTCAGGCTGAGATGCAGATGAGACCCACACCTGAGAGGAGGTGACAGACAGAGGTTTTTTTTTTGTTTTTTTTTTTTGAGATGGAATTTAGCTCTTGTTGCCCAGGCTGGAGTGCAATGGCACTATCTCAGCTCACTGCAACCTCTGCCTCCCAGGTGCAAGTGATTCTCCCGCCTCAGCCTCCTGAGTAGCTGGTATTACAGGCACGCACTGCCATGCCTGGCTACTTTTTTGTATTTTTAGTAGAAACAGGTTTTCACCATGTTAGCCAGGCTAGTCTCAAACTCTCAAACTCAAGTGATTCGCCCTCCTCAGCCTCCCAAAATTCTGGGATTACAGGTGTGTGCCACCGCACCCGGCCAAGAGCTTTTCAAACTGGATGAGTTAGTGGGGCTCAAGTCTAGGGATAGGGCAGGGTGAGGATGGAGAAAACAGCACCCACTGGGGGAGCCAGGGGGCAAGAAAGCAGGTGGAAAGCAGTCTCTACTCTGAGTCTCCAGGCCTGGAGGAGATAACTTGCCTGTGTCCCCTGGGAGATGAAGCCACCAACAACTTGTGGCCTGGAGGTAGACAGTGCTGGCTCTCACCCGTGCTTCACCAGCTGCTGCCCTCTGTCCCATCCACATTGCCAAGTAACTGCCCTTGGGGGAGAGCTGTCCACATACTCCCAACGGAGTTAACAGGACATAGGGGCCCCTTCATCGGACCTAGCTCCCGCCCCTCCGCCAACCGCATCCAGATCCACTAACATGTCAATAGGTGAAGCCCCTGGTAGGTGTTATGTAACGGAAGCTGCAATTTGTCAAGCACCTGCTGTGTCCAGCTTTCACTGATTTCATTCTTACAACTACATGGGGAGCAGGCATGGCTGAATCCCCATTTTACAAAGCCATTGAAGACTGCACAGCTACTGAGTGGCCGAGGCTTTGCTCTCTCTCTTTGAGGACAGTGCTGTCGCAGTCAGAGTCAAGTCTAGAGAATAAAGGGGGTGATGCCTCTGGGTGAAACAAATTTGGGTTTTAGAAAACCCCTACAGGATCGGCTTGGAGTCCCTTTAAACTGCTGTGGCTGTGGCCGCTCACATCTGTGGCCAGCTGAGCACCGCCATCTAGTGGCCACCAGGCTCAGTTCCCTTCCTCTGGGACCAGCCATGGATGAACTTGCTGGTCACCAAGGCTCAGCCAGAGAGACTGTGTTCTCATCACCCAGCTTGCTGACCACCATGCCATGACAAGCACTGGGCCAGGGCCAGGGGCCCAATCAGAGTCAGTGGACAGCAGTCACGTGGCAAAACTGCTGCTTTAATTAGAGGCTGGCCTATTTGGCAAACACCAGGCACCTTGTGTGTGGGTTGAGGCCACATGTGGGGTTGGTCTGTCCCAGAAGGCATCTGGGTTTTACCCTGTATGCAGAAGCTCATCTAGCAGATTCTGATGTGAGGGAGGGGCACGAGGAGGTCATCTTTTCCCCACCTCAGCTTGAAGCAGGCACAGCTTGGCTGTAGGCTCCTTGAAAGGGCACCCAGGCATCTCTCTCCACAGCTGGTACTATTCTGCTGTGCAATCTAGAAGTCAGTCTAGGGTTTGGCCTGAGGTTTTAGATGTTGGGGACTTCCATTTGGGGAAGCAGGAGAGGAGGCACCCCAGAGAATGGAGCCTGAGCCAGGCCAGGAGGATGGGGTTTGGGTGGAGGCTGGAAGGGCTGAGGGCTTACCTTTCTCTGTTTTCTGTGTTTGCCTGGGGCAGATGCAAACCTGAGTGTGGTTTAGAACAGAGAAAGGACAGGCACAGCAGCTCACACCTGTAATCCTAGCACTTTGGAAGGCTGAGGCTGGAGGATCACTTGAGGCCAGGAGTTCAAGACCAGCCTGGGCAACATAACACGACTTGGTCTCTTAAAAAAAAAAAAAAGTTATTTGGGTGCAGTGGCATGTTCCTGTAGTCCAAGCTACTTAGGTGTCTGAGGCAGGAGGACTGCTTGAGCTCAGGAGTCTGAGGCTGCAGTGAGCTATGATGGTGCCAGTACACTCTGGCCCTGGGTGGCAGAGTGAGACCATGTCTCTAAAAAAAAGAGAGAGGGCTGGGCACAGTGGCTCACGCCTGTAATCCCAGCACTTTGGTGGGAGGCTAAGGCTGGTGGATCACGAGGTCAAGAGATGGAGACTATCCCGGCCAACACTGTGAAACCCCATCTCTAATAAAAATACAAAAATTAGCTGGGCATGGTGGCACACACCTGTGGTCCCAGCTACCCGGGAAGCTGAGGCAGCAGAATCTCTTGAATCCAGGAAGTGGAGATTGCAGTGAGCTGAGATGGCAGCACTGCACTCCAGCCTGGCAACAGAGCAAGACTCCATTAAAAAAGAGAGAGAGAGAGAGAGAGAGAGAGAGAGAGAGAGAGAGAGAGGAGAGAGAGAGAGAGAGAGAGAGCATACCGTCATACTGTCCAACACTAAGACTTGGTACGTAAATGCATATAGTGGAAAATCATGCAGCTGTTAAATGATGATGCAGGCAAGTATTTATTGATATAGAAAGATGTTCACAACATATTGTTGGGTGAGAAAAGCAAATTACAAAATAATTTGTACAGTACGAGCCCATTTTGAAAAAAATGAGTTTATTTGTGTGGAAAAAATCTGGTAGTGTTTATCTCCAGGTGGCAAAATGATGGCTAATCACATTTTTGTGTGTTGCTTATCTATAGTTTCTGACTTTTCTACAATGAATATTTAATTTAAAAAGACAATGAAAGTTTAGAAAACTTGACCAAATCTGTCTTCTCCTTGGTTCTCTGTGCAGACACCTTTAGATAGTTAAGGGTTGGTCAGGCGTGATTGATGTGTACCAGTTGTACAGGTCATGCCTGTAATCAGAGCACTTCAAGAGGAAGAGGTGGGAGGGCTGCTTGAGCCCAGGAGTTCGAGACCAACCTGGGCAACATGGTGAAACTTCGTCTTTACTAAAACACAAAAATGAGTTGGGCACAGGGGTACATGCCTGTGGTCCCAGCTACTTGGGAGGCTGAGGTGGATGGATCGCTTGAGCCAGAGAAGTCAAGGCTGCAGTGAACTGTGATGCCACCACTGCACTCTGGCTTGGGCAACAGGCCAAGATCCTGTCTCAAAAAACAAAATAAGATAGTTAAGGGTTCAGTGTGAGGACGGTTCTGAGGGTTGAGAGAGGGTGGAGGATGCACCTGGGCCTGTGACGGGGGCCCACAGAGGTGGCTGACGGCGCAGGCCAGGGGACTCCAACTGCTGAAACAAGCTTGTGTCTCACATACACAGTGACAATTCGCTGAGCTTTGATGACAAGCACCTCCTGCTTGCCACATCTTTTCTCTCCAGGACAGCTTTGCCCTCATTTTAACAAGACTTCCCTTGAACCAAAAGGGAAGGCTGCACACTGTGACTTGCTAGGCAGCCTGGGAAGGCGTGCCACTCCCAGCCACAGAGATGAGAGTTGAGATAGGAGCTCATCCCCAGTCTTGCTCTTCCTTTTCTATTTTGTTTGTTTATTCATTTGTTTATCGAGACAGAGCCTCACTCTGTCACCCAGGCCAGAGAAAATGATGTGATCTTGGCTCACTGCAGTCTCTACCTCCTGGGCTCAGGTGATTCTCCCACCTCAACCGCCTGAATAGCTGGGACCACAGGAGTGCACCACCACACCTGGCTAACTTCTTTATATTTTTTGCACAGATGAGTTTTCACCACATTACCTAGGCTGGTGTCAAACTCCTGGGCTCCAGAAATCTGCCCACCTCGGCCTCCCAAAGTGCTTGGATTACAGTCGTGAGCCACTGTGCCCAGCCTTGCTCTTCCTTTAAAGCCTCTTGTCCTTCCTCAGGTCCCCAGTTCATAGCAGGATCATAGGTCATTGGGCGCCCCGCCCCCTCGTCTTCAAGATTCCCCTCCCTGTGTCAGTGCTCAGGCCCAGGGTCAGATGTGACTAGAGCCTAAGGGGCTGTCACCGTCCTCTCTTGCTGGGACTCACAGAGGGAGATCTCAGCAAGCCGTCTGTCCATCACATGGGCAAACGAAGAGCATACCGTGGGCTGGATGCAGCGGCACAATCCCAGTAATTTGGGAGGCTGATGTGGGAAGATTGCTTGAGCCTAGAAGTTCTAGACCAGCCTGAGCAACATGGCAAGACCCTATCTCTACAAAAAAGTTTAAAAATTAGCCAGGTATGGTGATGCATGCCTGTAGTCCCAGCTACTCGGGAGGCTGAGGCGGGAGGATCACTTGAACCTGGGAGGGTGAAGCTACAGTGAGTCGTGGTTTCCCCACTGCACTCCAGCCTTGGTGACAGTGAGATCCTGTCTCAAAAGGACAACAAAAAAGAACATATTCTGATGCAGAGTAGGGGACATTGCTCTGACAGAGGCTCAGGGGCCTGAGCTGGCTCTGTGAACTGGGGAAGAGGCGGACAGCCAGGCCTTGTCTGCAAGCAGGAGACCTGGCAGCGCTGGGTTGGCCGCCCCCCAGGGCCTCCTCTTCGTGCCCACTGAATGACTCACCTTGGCACAGACACAATGGTCAGGGGTGGGCACACTGCCTGCTTCCCGCCGCACCCCAGCCCCCCTCAGATGCTTTCCGAGAAGCCCATTGAGAGGGGGCTTGCCTTGCACACCAGCCTGACAGCCTGGCATCTTGGGATAAAGGCAGCACAGCCCCCTAGGGGCTGCCCTTGCTGTGTGGCGCCACCGGCGGTGGAGAACAAGGCTCTATTCAGCAAGTGCCCGGGAAAGGGGATCAGAGGAGGTCCAGGCATGGACAGTGGGTGGCAGGGGGGAGAGGAGGGTTGTCTGCTTCCCAGAAGTCCAAGGACACAAATGGGTGAGGGGCCTCGGCAGGGTTCTGACCCTGTAAGACCAGAGTGGAAAGCATAGATGGACCTGAAGTCTCCAGGGACAACAGGGCCCAAGTCTCAGGCTCCCAGTTGGACCCAGTGGCTCCTGAGTTCCCAAACCCATCCATCCCCAGAGGTCCTTCTCATCTCCACAGCCTGATGTGTGGTAACTTGAGGAGATAAATCTCCAGTGGGAGATGGAGGAGTGGCCAGGGAAACAGGAGCAAAGAAGCAAAGATTCGAGCCGGCACAGCCAGCTGATGCATAACTGCTTTGCGGAGCTGTCAAGGCCCAGGCTCTGGGAGGGGGGCGCAGGGAGGCAGGCAAGGAAGGGGTGACCCGGAGGGACAGACCCAGGGGCTGAAGTGCAGCCATGGACTGGGCCAGAGAGCACCAGCCCCTTCTTGCCCTATCAGGACCTCCACTGCCATACAGAGACCATGACTGACCTGAGACAAAGGGCTGGTGTCCAATCCCAGCCCCCAGCCCCAGAACTCCAGGGAATGAATGGGCAGAGAGCAGGAATGTGGGACATCTGTGTTCGACGGGAGGAGTCCAGGGGTCTGCTGGGAATGGGGCCTAGTCGGAAACTATGATATAGACGCCCCTTGAGGAGATGGAACAGGTTTGTTCGTCACCAAATTCCCAGCACCTTGCAGGCACTTACAGCTGAGTGACAGAAGGCCTGGGTTATCAAAAAGCTGGAAGGCAGGTCAGAGGTCATCTGGTACAGCCCTTCCTTTTTTTTTTGAGACAGGGTCTCTGTTGCCCAGGCTGAAGTGGTGCAAAGACAGCTCACTGTAGCCTCAACCTACTGGGCTCAAGTAATCCTCCCACCTCAGCCTCCCAAAGTGCTGGGATTGCAAGTATGACCCACCCCACCCTGCCCTTCCCTTCCTTTTTAATTGATGCATAACAATCGTAATATTCATTGTGGTCCAACCAACCCTTCTTGACCCACCTTCCTAGAGAGAGGGTCCTCTTGCCTCAGTGGTCAGGGCCCCGGACCCATGGTCTGGCTCCAGGCACCACCTGCCTCATGCAGGAGTTGGCGTGTCCAGGAAGCTCTGCCTCTGGGCACAATGACCTCAATGGGGTGAGAGGAGCTCTCCCCATAGCTGGGCTGCAGCCCAACCCCACCCCCTCAGGCTATGCCGGGGGCGTTGCCAGGGGCAGCAAGCATTGCCAGCCCAGCCCACTCCTTCATAAAGCCCTCATGTCTCAGGAGCAAGCAGAGCCAGGGCAGGATGGAGAGGAGACGCATCACCTCCGCTGCTCGCCGCTCCTACGTCTCCCAGGGGGAGATGATGGTGGGGGGTCTGGCTTCCCGTCGTCTGGGTCCTGGCAGCCGCCTCTCCCTGGCTCGAATGCCTCCTCCACTCACGACTCGAGTGGACTTCTCCCTGGCTGGGGCACTCAATGCTGGCTTCAAGGAGACCCGGGCCAGTGAGCGGGCAGAGATGATGGAGCTCAATGACCGCTTTGCCAGCTACATCGAGAAGGTTCGCTTCCTGGAACAGCAAAACAAGGCGCTGGCTGCTGAGCTGAACCAGCTGCGGGCCAAGGAGCCCACCAAGCTGGCCGACGTCTACCAGGCTGAGCTTCGAGAGCTGCGGCTGCGGCTCGATCAACTCACTGCCAACAGCGCCCGGCTGGAGGTCGAGAGGGACAATCTGGCACAGGACCTGGGCACTGTGAGGCAGAAGTGAGAAGGAGATGGGGAAGGGGGGGGCCTTGTGAGCAGAGGGGGCTGAACCCCCAAGAGGGAGTCCCCGAGAAGTCTCAGGCAGGGGCTGAGCCTCCCTGCTCCCTGGGTCTCCCTACCTCTTGATGGGGCCTTATCCTTGCCCCTACAGCATGATGAGAGGGACCAGAAAGAGGCCAGGGCCCCGGGGATCTGATTCCCAAACACCTTCTGCCAGGGAACCAGGGTCCCCTCAGCACCTCCTCACTGAGGAAAGCAGTGCAGGAGCAGCCGGGCCCCCAGCAGCCGGGCCCTTGCGTTTTCACTCATGGCTGGGCCTTGTGACTGTGGGCAGCGAGCTCACCTATTCTGAGCCTGGGTCTGTATAAAGGAGTTGGAAGTGGAGAAGGCTGGCATCCAGGAGGGAGATTGGATTCTGGGGTAAAGGAAGTGGGGGAAAGCGCAGGCAGGCCTGGGTGTAGAGCACAGGTGACAGCCTGACACCAACTTGTGACCCCCGTCAAGTCACTCTGACTTGCACAACTATGAAGCAAAGCTCATAATAAAATTCATTTCAGAAGGTGGTTACCTGGGATCAGAGGAATCCCCAGGGGCATGGCGCTTCACTGAGCTGGCAAGGCGCCTGTGTGCCTTCAAGTGCAGGAGGGTGTGTGTGTGTGTGTGTGTGTGTGTGTAGCAGTGAGTATATGTCAGTGGATGCGCCTCTGTGAGCAGGAACAGGTGCACCAACCCTGATAAGGCACCTTGGTAATGAGTTAAGGCAAAAGCGCGCATCTGCTCATCCTCCAGATGAGGCCTCTGTCTAAAGCCCCCCAACCCTTACTCCTCCTGCTGCTCTGCTGGTCCTGGGTGCGGGTGGTCTCTATGACAGTTGCCTCCAGGGAGATTGGGGCAGAGACCCAAGTGTCCTCATAAGAGCCTGGACCCAGGAATGTGTCCCCCAACTCCAGGCTCCAGGATGAAACCAACCTGAGGCTGGAAGCGGAGAACAACCTGGCTGCCTATAGACAGGTCAGGGAGGTGGAGGGAGGGGCTAGGGAGGGAGGAAAGGGGTTGATGGCAACCCACCCAAACACAGCCCCCAAGCTCAGCCCTCCAGAGCAATGTGCTGCTCCCCACTGCCCCAGAAGGAGGGGTAAGGCAAGGCTGAGGCATGGGGAGGAAGAGCCTGAGGCCCAAGTGGCCCTCTGCTCCTCACCACTCCTGCCACTCCAGGAAGCAGATGAAGCCACCTTGGCCCGTCTGGATCTGGAGAGAAAGATCGAGTCACTGGAGGAGGAGATCCGGTTCTTGAGGAAGATCCATGAGGAGGTGAGGCCAGGGAAGAGGGAGGAAAGCTCAACACAGAGATTGCAACTGAGAGAAGGAGAGGCAGAGACAGAGAGGCTGAGAGTGAGAGAGACACTCAGAGAGAGGAGAGAAACAGAGACTGGCAGATAGAGACAGAACATGAGAGAGAGAAAGGCAATAAGGGAAACAGACAAGAGAGCGTTCTAACCCCTGGCTGAGGGGCAGGCAGAAGAGGACATGATGCTGTGGGGAGCCCCAGCTGTGGCCTGTACCCTGAGCCCTGGTTCCCCTTCTCTCACCCCGGCCAGGAGGTTCGGGAACTCCAGGAGCAGCTGGCCCGACAGCAGGTCCACGTGGAGTTGGACGTGGCCAAGCCAGACCTTACTGCAGCCCTGAAAGAGATCCGCACGCAGTACGAGGCAATGGCGTCCAGCAACATGCATGAAGCCGAGGAGTGGTACCGCTCCAAGGTAGCCTGTGTGGGCCAGCCTGCCTCCTCCAGGCAGCTCTCCTTGATCCATATGAGACAGTGGGAGAAGCAGGGTGGAGGAAGCTGGGAGAATAGTCTCTCTGGGTGACTGACCTTCACCAGAGAAGTGAGATGGCTTGCCCAGGGTCACACAGGCACTATGGCTTCCAAAAGTACCCATTACTATTACCGCTACTATTGCTGTTACTTTATTAGTAGCTGATATTGTTCCTTGCCAAGTCCTGTGCTTTTCATGGATTACCTCACTATGAAGTAGGTGCTGTTCTTTGACAGATGAGAAAACTGAAGTGCAGAGAGGTTAACTAATTTGCTCAAAGCCACACAGCTCCTAAGTAGTACAGTTGGATTTCCAACTCTAGCCCATCTCACTTGGGAGCCTGCATTCCATGCCTCTGCCAGTCTGTTTTGGGTGATTGAACCTCTATTGCATGCCAGGCACCTCCCAGGACACAGAGAGGTGTCTGACCTGGGAGGTGTGATGTTGACGTGCACCGAACCACAGCTCGGAGCTTCTATGCAGTGTGGCATTTGGGCTAGGCAGGACAGGCAGGCTGTGGCCAGGAAGAGAAGAAAAGGACCATTCCTGGTGGTGGACAGAGCCTGGAGGCAGAAAAGCACAGAAGGCAGGGACCCAAGATGCTGGCCCAACCAGGGCACCTAGCTGAGGAGAGTGAGAAGCAGAGGCCACAGGCGTGTGAGCAGGGCGAAGGTCCAATGGAGCTGGGAGGATCTCCCTGCAGGTGGGGGAGAAAGGGCTATTAGAGCCCAGGGTGAGGCCGGGCACAGTGGCTCATGCCTGTAATCCCAACACTTTGGGAGCCCATGGCAGGCAGATCACCTGAGGTCAGGAGTTCACGACCAGTCTGGCCAACATGGTGAAACCCCATCTCTACTAAAAATACAAATTTAGTCTGGCATGGTGACGGGCACGTGTAATCCCAGCTACTTGGGAGACCAGCCTGAACAACATGGTGAAACCCCGTCTCTACTAAAAATACAAAAAATTAGCTGGGCATGGTGGCGCGTGCCTGTAATCCCAGCTACTCAGGAGACTACGCCATTGCACTCCAGCCTGGGTAACAAGAGTGAAATTCTGTCTCAAAAAAAAAAAAAGAAACCCAGGGCTCCGCTTGCTGGAACCCACTGTCCACTGTAGCAGATGACAGATATTCAGTCCCGCAAATGCAGCTGTCAGTGTGGAAGGTTCTGGATTCTGTGGCACTGTTCATGCGTTTGCTGACCAGGTGTTGTGCTAGGTGCCCCCGTCCATGGGTCACAGTTGCTGGGAAAAGTTCCAGCCAGGGCCAACGTCCTGGGGTTGACTGGAGTCTTGGTCACCTCCCTGATTTCCCAGAGCCTGTGCCTGCCCATGGGCCCACACAGCTCCGCTATATGTGTCCGCCAGCCGCCCTCAGCCTGTGGCTCCTATCCCCATCTAGTTTGCAGACCTGACAGACGCTGCTGCCCGCAACGCGGAGCTGCTCCGCCAGGCCAAGCACGAGGCTAACGACTACCGGCGTCAGTTGCAGTCCTTGACCTGCGACCTGGAGTCTCTGCGCGGCACAGTGAGCGCGGCCAGGACAGGACGGGGGTGGGGGGAGAGGGGATGGCCACCCCAGGAGATGCTAGGGTAGAAGGGCCAGGGGCGCGGACCTGGGGCGAGGGCGGGGCTCGAACGTCACCCCCGGGCTAGAGGCGGAGCCTGGGGCTGGGGACCGGGCCTCGAAGCCTCACCGAGTCAAGTCGGGGCCCCGCGGGACCGGACGGCTCCATCCAACAGAACGAGTCCCTGGAGAGGCAGATGCGCGAGCAGGAGGAGCGCCACGCGCGGGAGGCGGCCAGTTACCAGGAGGCGCTGGAGCGGCTGGAGGAAGAGGGGCAGAGCCTCAAGGACGAGATGGCCCGCCACTTGCAGGAGTACCAGGACCTGCTCAACGTCAAGCTGGCCCTGGACATCGAGATCGCCACCTACAGGAAACTGCTGGAGGGCGAGGAGAACCGGTGAGCCCTGATAACAGCCCTGGGGAAGTCTCCCTGCCGCCTCTCGGTAGAGCCCACCTTACCCGCTTCAGGGCCTGAGGCTTTTTCAGACTTTTGTCCAGCCCCCTTCCCACCTCAAAGCCCAGCACAGCGCCTGCCTCACACACAGCAGCCAGTCACTAGATGTCTGATGAATGAATGGATGGATGGATTTAACCAGTATTGATTAGGCCTCAAGGCCAAGGACAAGAGTCACCCTCCAAACTAAGAGGCTCACTCCCCACCCTCCCAGCAAAGACTGGACTCCTCACCTCACCCATCTTTTCTGTCTCCTTGGAACTTTCTTCACCACTTTCCCCTCCCTCTTCCATCTTCCTTCAGATGAACATGAAACCCTCACAGATAACACTCAAGCCCCTTGCAGACTTTTGGAGCTCCAGTTAGCATGTTGGCTACCGGGCAAAGCTAGGAGATAGAGTCAGACCTCCCTGGCAAGAAAAAGGGTGTTGAAGTTGTCATGATGGCCCTGGACCAGGACCCAGCCTAGGGTTGTCCCAGCCAGCCTGGGCATCCCTTTCCCTCTGCTTTCTTTCAGCATCACCATTCCTGTGCAGACCTTCTCCAACCTGCAGATCCGAGGTCAGTAGAGCAGGGCCTCATGGTAAGGGCACTGGAGTCCTGCCCCCTCCTCCAGGGCCTGTAGGCTACTTCAGCCTGGGACGGAGGACCAGGGCAAAGGGATCCAGGTTCTCCCTGGGGCCCTTCATGACTCACTGAGACGCTCTTGCCAGAGCCTACCATCCCAGGGCACTTCCAGGCGGGGCTGGCAGCCGCCCCTGTCCTGCTGGGCCCTGGGTCCCTCTTCTCCTCCCTGCACCCCATTCCACAGCCAAACTGGGTGAGATTTCAACGTCTGCCCTGTCTGCAGATCCCTGAGCAAGCACTGCCCTTCTGAGTGTTTTTTGTTTTTGTTTTTTTAACTGCTTGTCACTACAGGGGGCAAAAGCACCAAAGACGGGGAAAATCACAAGGTCACAAGACATCTCAAAAGCCTCACAATACGAGTTATACCAATACAGGCTCACCAGATTGTAAATGGAGCGCCGCCAGCTCGCGGTTAGCTGCCTGCCTCTCAGACACAGCGCTTTGCCCAGCTTGACAGGGAGTGAACCTCACCATCCCATTCTCCCAGTCTTCCTGGGCTCCCTCCTTGCAGGCTTCCCCTAAAGGGCCGGGACTGCATCATTTTCCCAGGAACCGCAGTGCCCAGCCCAGGATAACCGTAGATTAAAGCGGCGGAGCTGGTTAGTGGTAAAGGTGGTGGGTCCTTGGGTGCGCAGCTGAGCTACACCGGGGCCTCTGAGTAAGGAGCAGCCTCTGTCTCACCTCTTCCCGTCACTGGGAGGGCCTCGTTGAGCCTAGAGGCCAGGCTCTCTGCTTTGTTCTTTCACCCCTGAGGCTACATCGCTCAGCTCAGTGCTGACACAGTCCAGAGGATTCTGCCCTCAGGACCACTGCTCTTGCAGTGAATAAAGTTCCATGTTCCCTGCTCTTGATGTTAAATATTAGTGAATGTGACATGTTAAATTTTTCTCTAGGGGGTGAAGCGAAATTACTTTTTACTTGTATGTGGCCCTCAAATGATTCCTAGCTAAGGAACGAAATTCCTCTTCTGGGCTAGAATATTTAGGACCATTAGATATGCATGTCCCAGGGCTTAATTCAGCATCAGAAAGCTTAACCAGGCTGACTAGTAGAGGTAATACCGCCAAGTCCTAGATAGTCACAGGTCACTAGGGTACAGATAAGTGGCAGAGAGAAGTAGGAAAGGGGAAAGGGGATGGGAAAGGGACCTACATGTATTAAGCACTAATATGTGCCACATGTTTAACAGCCTTTATTTTAATTAATTGTCTCCTCTCTCCCACCTAGAGAAATAGGCCCCATCATCCTCATTTTACAGATGAGGAAACTGAGGCTGGGAGAGGTCAATTAACTTGCCCAGAGTTGCATAGCTAAGTTGGGACTTCTTTAGCTCTGGTCTCTTTATTTCTTTCCTCATTTCTCTCTTTCTCTCTTTCCTTCTTTCTTTCTTTCGATGGAGTCTCGCTCCTGTTGCCCAGGCTGAAGTGCAGTGGCATGATCTCAGCTCACTGCAACCTCCGCCTCCCGGTTTCAGGCGATTCTCCTGCCTTAGCCTCCCAAGTAACTGGGATTACAGGCACTGCCGCCATACCTGGCTAATTTTTTGTATTTTTAGTAGAGATGGGATTTCACCAAGTTGGCCAGGCTGGTCTCAAACTCCTGACCTCAGGTAATCTACCTGCCTTGGCCTCCCAAAGTGCTGGGATTATAGGTGTGAGTCACTACAGCCAGCTGTCTTTTTTTTTTTTTTTTTTTTTTGAGGCAGAGCATCCTTTTGTCACCTAGGATGGAATGCAGTGGTGCAATCTTGGCTCACTGCAACCTCCACCTCCCAGGTTAAAGTGATTCTCCTGTCTCAGCCTCCTGAGTAGCTGGGACTTTGGGTGCCTGTCACCATGTCTGGCTAATTTTTGTATTTTAGTAGAGACAACGTTTCACCATATTGGTCAGGCTGGTATTGAACTCCTGACCTCAGGTGATCCACCTGCCTCGGCCTCCCAAAGTGCAGGGATTACAGGTGTGAGGAAGCCACCATGCCCCACCTGGTCTCCTGATTTCAAAGCCTGCATGTCCTTCCTTGATGCCTTGCTGGGTTGTCAGAAAGCCAGGTGCCAGGCCAGGGCTTGCAAAGGGGCTGAAATGAAGCCAGACCTGAAGACAGAGCAGCCAGGACTTGGGCTGCAGCACCGTTGGGATATGGGGGCTCTCCAGCCCATCTGGAAGAGCCTAGGCTCTCTCTGCCCGGTTGCATAGGTTCTCATATTATGATCTGGGGGCGTGATGGGGAAGCCGGGGGTGGGAGAGGATGACTCATGCCCCGAGAGTCCATGGGAGGCCTCTTCTCCTCACACCTGCAGAAACCAGCCTGGACACCAAGTCTGTGTCAGAAGGCCACCTCAAGAGGAACATCGTGGTGAAGACTGTGGAGATGCGGGATGGAGAGGTAAGGAGGGATCTGGGCCATCAGGCGCTGCCTGGCCCCCAGGATTCTCAAGGCCAGGCTGTGGATGAGAGCCTGGGGTTGGCACAATAACTCCCAGGAGCTCTCCAGTGAATTCTGGAGGACAGCAAGTAACCTGGATGTAATTCCATTTCCCCAGCCCCTCCATAGGCTGTTCTAAGAGAAGCCTTGGTACCAAAGCTACTAGATGGGGTTCTAACTCAAACGCTATCTCTTTCTCACCCTCACACTCAGGGGCCTGGCTTGCCAGGGACAGAAAGAGAGTTAAAGTTAGCAGCTTTCACTCCCAACTCTAGCAGAGACAGTCGGAGATGGGGAGGGCTTTCAATTTCCAGCTTAGAAAAAGGAAACTACCGGGGGATGGGAAGAGGGGATTTAGTGTATCCCCCACACCACTCCAGCTACAGCGGAAGCTCATCTTACTCGAGCAGCTTGCCCCGCACCAGGCACGAGGCTAAACACTTTCCCAGAGTTATCTCTCCACCCTCTCTGAGCACTGTGCGAGGCAGTTGTGGTTATTGTCAAGAAAAGAAAGACCTGGGAAGCGTGGGGACTTGCCCAAGGTTACACAGCCTTGCAGTGGTGGACCTGGGGTCTGTGTGCACCTCTAATTGTCACACTGTGCATGTTCCCTGCCCCTGCAGGTCATTAAGGAGTCCAAGCAGGAGCACAAGGATGTGATGTGAGGTGGGACCCAGCTGGTGGCCTCTGCCCCATTGAATGAAGGGCTCAAGCAGGAGCAGGATAGTTGCTCCTCCTCTGCTGGCACCTTTCCCCAGACCTGAGCTCCCGCTGCCCCAGCTGCTCCCCTCCCTCCTTGTCTCTAGGCCAGCTAACTGCCCTAGGCTCCGTCTGCATTAGGCCTGCCAGACAGTACCCACCCAGCACCCAGCAACTCCAACTAACAAGGCACTCACCCCCAAGGGGCAGTCTTGAGGGGCATGGCCAGCAGCTTGGGTTAGAATGAGGAGGAAGAAGAGAAGGGGAGGAGGGCGGGGGGATCAAATCCATTGCCCTCCACATCCCTGATCCCTGTTGTTATGGCAACTGTTGCCAGAGTTGGAGGTTCTCTCTGGGTATCTGAGAACTGTGCCTTTGAGTTTCCTCAGACTGCTGGAGGAAAACTGAGACTAAGACAGGAAAGGGAAGTCCCCACAGACAAGGTAGTCCTGGCCAGAGGCTTTTTTTATTTTTTGTTGTTTTTGAGGCGGGGTCTCCCTATCCTGCCCAGGCTGGCCTTGAACTCCTGGGCTCAAGCAGTCTTCCCACCTCAGCCTCCTGTGTAGCTGGGATTACAGCCTTGAGCCACCATGCCCAGCTCAGAGGGTTATTCTTCTAAACTGACACTGACCAGTCTAAGATGGGTGGGGATGTCCTGCCATCTGGGGCAGGCACCTGCCCAAATCCCAGAGGAACCTCCTGAGCCATGACTCAAGTGTCTCAGTCCCCCTGAGCTGCCATCCAGGGACCCCGTCTGTGGGCACACTGTGCGCTCGTGGGAGCTTGATTCTCAGCACTTGGGGGATCTGTAGTGTATGTGGAGAGGGATGGGGTGCTGGGAGGGATAGAGGGGGGCTGCCTGGCCCCCAGCTGTGGGTACAGAGAGGTCAAGCCCAGGAGGACTGCCCCGTGCAGACTGGAGGGGACGCTGGTAGAGATGGTGGAGGAGGCAATTAGGTCGGCGCTAGACATCCAAGTGGGGGTTGTGGGCGACCAGTTACATTTAGCCTCTGAGTTGTGGGAATTAAGAAAGTGACTCATCCTCTTGAAGATGCTGAAACAGGAGAGAAAGGGGATGTATCCATGGGGGCAGGGCATGACTTTGTCCCAGTTCTAAGGCCTCTTCCTTGCTGTGTCATCCCAGGCCACCCCAGCCTCTGAGCCCCTGGGACTGCTGCTTATTTACCCCAGTAAGCCACTGCCACACGCCTGACTGTCTCCACCCCAGAGTGACCAGCTGCTTTTCCCTAAGCCAAGGACCTCTTGTGGTCCCCTTACTCACATGCAAAATGTATCCAGTATTTTAGGTAACGCCCTATTTTAGAATTTGTAAAACAGAGGCATGAGCAAAGTGAAGATACTGGCTCATATTTCTGCAGCCTGGAGGCCAGGTGCTCAGGGCTGACACGTCCCCACCCCAGTGCACCTACTCTGCTTTAACTGGGCAGACTGGTGGGCAGACTGGTGGGCAGACTGGTGGGATCTGTGCCCAGAAATGGGACTTAGAGGGCCCACTTCAGGGTTCTCCTCTCCCCTAAGGATGAAGAAGGGTCTTTCTCTCTCCACAAGACTTGGTGTCCTTTCCCTCCACTCCTTCCTGCCACCTGCTGCTGCCTTTAGTCACTGAGGAAAAATAAAGACAAATGCTATGCCCTTCCCCAGAGTGTACTCTGATCTGTTCATGAGAGGGCGGGACTGGGGCCGAGACTTAGCCTTCGACAAGACCAACTCACTTCTTATTAGTGATCGTCTCTGGACACCCTCACCAAACCCCACACCCAGCCAAAGAGGACTTAACACTAGCTCCCTCCACTCTTTTCTTCCTTCCTCTCCCTGCTACCAGCAACTCAACCAGCACGATCCTCAAAAGCAAGAAAGTAAAACAGCTCAAAGATGATTCAGCACTGGTCAGTGTTTACCACTGGACAAATATGAGTTCACTCCTTCTTTCTCTGACCTAAGTGTGAAGTCAGAAAACATGCACGCCCTGGCTACTTCCATCCTGACCTCAGTCCCCAATCTCCTACCAGCCTCAGACCCCTCCACTTCTCAGCTCAGGCTCCAGACCTGCCCATGAAAATGGGGAGCAGGCTGTAACTAACAGATTTGTCCACATGTCCCTACCACAAGTCCCAGCCCAGAGTACCCACCAGAGACATCTGGTATCATTTAACAAACAAATTGAAGGACAACGGGTCTTCAGAACTGGGGAAAGAAAAATCCTAGGGGGAGAAGTTGGGACAACAGCTAAATAAGTAACAGCAGCAATGACAGAGGTGAACGGTGACAAAGACTGCCGTGATGAGCAAGTAGCCTATCAGAGTGACCTCCACGGCCGAGCGAGTCTCGGGATCCGAGAACGAGGCTGGGTAGCGCCCACGAGATGTCACGCCCAGCCGGAAGCCAGCAACCCGCACACCCTGCCTCCAGCAATAGTAGATTCCCCGGTCACCCAGCTGGGTGAAGCGGATGTGGAGCTGGTTGCCATGGTCAATGAATACCCTCATGGACCTGCTGACGCCCTTCAGGTACTGTGTGCGGTAGAGGCGCTGGTGGTCTTTGTCCCAGGCCACCGCATGCTCTGGCCGGGCCCCGGGACAGGAGATGATGAGCCCATGGCCCAGTCTCTGCTGGTGGAACTGAATGGGCACCTGGGGCACCCAGGGCCGGCTGCCCACCTTGGACACATAGTTAACGATGGCCAGGATGCTTCCCCGGATGGTCTTCGTCTTCTCACAGGGGACTATGCAGCTCCGAACCAGCAGCTCAGGCATGTGGTCTCTGGCCTTGGTCCGCAGCTTCCTCGGCACAGCCCTTGAGCCACAGGACACCACGTCAGGCACCGCCTTGAGGTAGCGTGGGGAGAGGTCCGGGCTCTGCAGGTAGCAGAGGCCGATGCGCCACTGCTCCCCACGTACCCCACAGCGGTCACAGGGGGTCCACTCCCAGAAGGTGGTGAAGACATGGAGGCGCCCATAGTACTCATCTGCGAAGGGTTCCTGGCCCTTGTCCCGGAAAGTGGCCACCATTCCCTTGCTGCTCTGGATGTCCACATCGTAGGCGTAAAAGTAGTCCCCTTTGCGGGTGCCGCAAAAGTACAGGCCTGAGTCCTCAGGCTGGGCCCTGAAAACCAACAGGCTGAACATGCGGATGCTGAAGCGGGTCAGCATGTCACTGCCTACATGCACCTGGCCCGCCTCCGTCAGCACCCGCCCATCAAAGTCCGTCAGCACTTTGGTGTGGCCGCTACCCAGGTGCTTTTGATAGAACCAGACTACAGCCAGCACCTCCTCAGGCTTGCAGTGGCAGGGAAGCTCAAAGCTCATGTCGGCCAGGTAGGCTGCATTTTCAAACATCAGGAAAGCAGGGCAGGGGGTCTTCTGAAAAATGTTTTCCTTCTCCACAATTTCAAAGGCCTGGAGACTCCCCCATGCCCACAGGAGCACAGTGGTGAGGGTCAGGTGCATGTCTGAAGGAGGGAGGGGTCAGAGGTACAGGGCAAAACCAATGCATTAAAGGCTCATGGGGCTCCTAGAGAGCACTGCTGCGCTGAGGCCCCTGGATGAGGAAAGGATTATGCAGCCAGGAAAAGAAGCAACAATCTGCAGAGGAGGCAGCCAAGTACAAGGCAATTTATGCCCAGTGGATACATAATACATCCTTCTAACATTCCAGACCCTATCTGGGTGGGGGGACCATTCTAGAACTTGGCCTTCACTCCCCGTTCTAGAACACTGGCACTCATCCAAGAATGGGTCAAAGGAAACCGGAATGAGAAGGGCAGGCCTAAGTGCACAGGCAGGGAAATCTCTGCCTCTGTGCTCCAGGCCCTGTCCTGTGGGCCTGGTGGAAAAGTCTTCCCTTTCATCAAACTGGAGGATGAAGGAAACCCACCCTCCTGCATATCTGGCCATCCAAGAGGCTGGCTGGACCTGAGCTGATGGCTTAGGGCCTTCCCAGGCTCAACCTGCACAAGAACTGAGCCTCTAGGGGAAAATTCAACACCTCAAATGAAGTAGCATTTGATCATTTGTTGATTAAATGTTCATTTATTGGTTCGGAGCCGTACACATTCTTGATAAGAGCTGTGGTGATCAATGTTTGTTTACTGTAAAGATTTTGCTTTTTTCTTTTTCTGAGTGGAGGCTGTGACAGGTACAGCCAGCATTTGGTTGGGTACACACTCATCTCTCAGGGCCAGGGGCTTGGCAGACTCTATGGATGGGAAACAAAACTGCTTTCAACTTCCTGAACTCTTGATTGTCCCGTGGATACACACAGTTCAAAATATCGAGACAGTGAGAGGCTAGAGAAGTGGGAAAATTGATTCCTGTTTTTACTTTGAAAATTCCAAGTTGAGACAGGAACTAAGTGTGGGTTTCTTACTACGGTCCTGCAGACCCCAAGACAACAACCAAAAAACTGCCTCCCGTGACCACCAGGACCTCTGAGGGGACCTGGTCACATCAGTTAACCTGGTACAGCCCCAGCAGCTCCTGCAGGAGCCTCTCCTCCTCCTGAAGCCTACCAGAATGCTCCTCCGGACCCTGCTCCTCCCAGCTGAGCCCCTCCTTCATGGGTCTGGGGGTGCCCATGGTTTGCAGCTTCTGAAACAAGCCCTTGCATTTCTCTCTCTCCACGTGGCTCAGCAGGCTCAGGTTCAGGGTGAAGCGCCCGGTGGTCGCCAGGCTGCGTAGGATCCCCAGCACTGCTGCCCGATCAGCTGGTCCCATGTGATCAGCCAGTGCCACCAGCAGCTCCCCGAGAAGCCCAAACCCCACATCTGCCTGGAAGAGGCGGCCCAGCTTTGGACCCCCGAGCTGCAGCAGAGCCTGGTAGCGCTCTGGCCCGCTCCGTAAACGTTGTCGCCAATCACGGTAGAAGTCAGCAGAGGTCTCGGGCTGGAGGGGGGTTTTCTCCTGCATCACAAGGGAAGGAAAAGGAGTCAGGAGCTCTTCCAGCTGCTCTGCAACAGTGAGAGTGAGGGGAGCCTGTAGGTCTCCATCTTAGTTCGGTTACTCTCTGAGTACTGGGAAGATTTTGGTCCTTAAAAGCCTCATTTTCAGCTGAGGGAACTGGGGATGAGACGGGGTTGGGGGGGCAAGGAATCCACATCATGATTTGAGATTCTCATTTATACTGGAATTTCCTACTCATGAATGGAGACATAGCTCTAGTCTTCAAGAGTAAGTCAGGGTTTACTGTAAACCGTGTGGATGGGTTGATTGGAAATCTCAGGAAGAGAAAGGAACTCAAGTGAGTGTGAAGGATCTGAATGTCAGGATCTCTCTCTCAACACTGCACAGGATCGTTACACTAGACACCATGCAACTCAGAGGCAGAGCTACCCAAACGTGATCTGAGAGTGAAAGTCAAAGAACTAAGGGAAGGTCCCCTTCCCTAGCCCACCTTTCTGACTCATTCTGCCCAGTTCACCTCAGCTTCACCATCTGCTGTTTTTCTTTCGGGGACTGGAGGCAGAAACCTGTCTCTGTTGGTTTAACATGATAAATAAAGAAGAGGTATGTGTGGTTAAAAAACAAACAAACAAACAAAAAACAGGGTCTGGGTGTGGTGGCTCATGTCTGTAATCCCAGCACTTTGGGAGGCCGAGGCAGGAGAATCACAAGGTCCAGAGATTGAGACCATCCTGGCCAACATGGTCGAACCCCATCTCTACTAAAAATACAAAAATTAGCTGGGCATGGTAGTTTGCCCCTGTAGTCCCGGCTACTCAGGAGGCTGAGGCAGGAGAATCACTTGAACCTGGGAGGTAGAGGTTGCAGTGAGCTGCAATCGCACCACTGCACTCCAGCCTGGAGACAGGGCGAGACTCCGTCTCAAAAAAACAAACAAACAGGATTGAAGCTTTAGGGCAGAGAATCCTCTTGGACTAAAGAGGCAGGGCCTCACCTACCGGGGAGATTTCAGTGGCCACATCCTGGAAAGTCCTTCCCTGAATAGTGTGACAGTTCCAGGGCACAGTTCTCTTTCCTCCCATCTTATCCTTCTGCTCCAGTGGCTTCAGATGGGATGCAAGGACAATACCCCTGGGGGCAAAAGACAGAAATTAGGTAATGGACTTAATGCTGTGTCTGTGGGTGTAAGGCAGCTAGACTTTGCATGGTATAGGATGAACTTGTTGACAGACCAGTATGACCATAATGATAATAACAGTAGTAACAGCAGTGATAGCTGACTGCTCTCAGGCACTTCACACGTGTCAGACACTTGCTCAGTATTATGTGCAAGAACTCATTTAATTATAATAACACTTACTGTTTTACAGATAAATAATTGAGGTTCAGAGAGGTTAAGGAAATTCCGTAAGATCAAACAGTAGAGGGTGGGGCCAGGACCGAAGTAGGACTGATCAAACAGAATGGTTTGATTTCAGAGTTAACTACTACAGTCCACTATAACGGGAAGGCCTGAGAAAAATGGCGGTGACCCAACCTGAACTCCTCATAGGAAGCCACCCTCTGTTCCACTGCGCGTAACTTGGCAGCATTCTCCCGTTTGTACTTCTCATCAGCAGTGAGTGCAGCCTGCAGCTCTTTCTCCAGAGCCTTGAAGTCGATGGTGTCGTTCCTTTCCATGGCCTGTGCCTGGGAAGACAAATGGAATGCACATCAGTGGAGGATCAATATCAGGGGAAAGAGGGTGTCTCTGGATTATTCACCAGAATACAAAATGACCTCAAAGCCCTCTGGACATCTTGTCACTCATATCGGGAGGTGTTACAAAGGTGTTACTTTACAAAGACAAGCTGAATTTCACAGTGAGGACTTACACAAGACTTGCCCCTTAAAACAGAATAGAGTCCTGACTTTGAATTTGGAGCTCTGTCTTGATTTTGCTCTCTGCCACTAAAAATACTTTTAATTTTGGTCCTTCAGTCAAGGAGGCATTTGGATCTCAGGATTCAGTTCCTCCACTCTTCCACACAGACTTGCTCTGCAGCAAGTTGTTTAGACAGGGGACCTCACACAAAAGCAGAACTCTTGTTAGTTACCCTGGAGCTGAGGATAACGTTTCATTCTCATTAAATCTCCTTAATGGGGAAGGAGACTTTCACCCAAACCAAATGCAATGACTGAGCAGGAAATCAAGTAGAAGGAGCAGAGGAAGGAGCTCAATGACCCAATCCCCAAATCCCTTTGTCCAGCCCAGGGCTCACTGTGTTGCCCAGGATAAAGTGCAGTGGCACGATCTCGGCTCACTGCAACCTCTGCCTCCCGGGTTCACGCAATTTTCGTGCTTCAGCCTAGGACTGGGACTACTAGCTGGGACTACAGGCATGCGCCACCACGCCCGGTCAATTTTTGTATTTTTAGTAGAGACGGGGTTTCACCATGTTGCCCAGGTTGGCCTCGAACTCCTGACCTCAAGTGATCTGCGCGGTTCAGCCTCCCAAAGTGCTGAAATTACAGGCGTGAGCCACCGCGCCCGGCCTGCAGAGAGATTCTCTACGTGGGTTCTAGTCAGGGTTCTGACATTTACTTGTGGGACCTCTCTGAACTGCAGATTCCTGGTGAGTTGAGCTAGATTTTGTGGCAGTCATCACGAACAGTTCCAGCGCAAGGAAGCAGGAGGTCCTCAACTAATCCCATAGCCACCCTACCCCAAAGTGAGGAATCTGAACGCCAAGAAGGGGCTGGGCTGGTCAGTAACCGAACTCAGGTGTCCAGTTCTCAACCCTTCCCAGACATTTAATAAGTAAAACTAACCCTTCCGCCCCCTTACTCAGCCTCCCGGACCTTCACCCCAACAGCCCCGGCCTTGGTCGCCCTGCTTTGTTTGGGGATTCCCTGATAAGCCAGAACAGTAGAGCAGCCCAGCACAGACCACGCCCCGCAGCTGTGGCTGCCCAGCAACTTCTCTAACAGCCTAACCACGTGATCTGCCTGAAGGCCCCCCCTTTCCGGGTGGTCCCGAGGCGCCTGATCAGATTCGTGTGTCCTCAGTTCTCACCCTCTTTAAAGCAGCCCACGTCTTAGGCTTCTCGTCTTGGGGACCCTCTGCTCCGCTGTGCCAATTCTTGTCTGCGCGGCAGGCATACCTCGAAACTGGTCCTCAGGCAGAGGGTTGTCCTCCCGGGCAGAAAGGCGACCGCGGCGTCTTCGGGGTCCTTTCTGGCGGCGGGCGCAGACGTTTCCTTGGCGTGGGGCGGAAGCGCGGTCTTCGGCGGCGGCCTAGGAACTCTCAGCTGAGCAGGCGGGAGGTAGGTTGAAGCAGATCTGCGGTACGGAAGGGTTGCTCCAGGTGGGACAGGAATTAAAGAGCGTCAGATCTGGAAGAGGCCTTATATACTGTCTGCCCCTTTCGCTTTACGGATGGGTAAATTGAGGCCTGGAGCGGGAAAAAGAATGGAAGACCCTCTCCTCCGCGTGTCTCCCCCAGGCTTCCGAAGCGCACACACCTCGATTCTGGGGATACCTCTATAGCCTCCGTCCGTAAAATCGCATCCCTAGGAAGGAGCGGTGCTCTAACTGTCCAGTCCCCTCGCTCACTCCCTCTTCCATTTGTGCCGCCTTCAGCCCTTCTATGCCAGGTTCCCTCCGACGTTCCCTTTGAGCTCCTGTATCGGAGCGGGAAGCCGCAGTGAGGTTTGTTTCCATGAGTCGCTAGTTTTGTGTAACTAGCTTGGCTTATTCCATGAACAGCTTTCTACAAAAATGTCTTCAATCGGCCAGGCACGGTGGCTCACGGCTGTAATCCCGGCACTTTGGAGGCCGATGCAGGCAGATAACCTGAGGTCAGGAGTTCGAGACCAGCCTGACCAAAACGGTGAAACACCCCCCCCCCTACTAAAAATACAAAAAAAATTAGTCGGGTGTAGTGAGTGGTGCACGCCTGTAGTCGCAGCTACTCTGGAGGCTGAGGCAGGAGAATCGCTTGAATCCAGAAGGCAGAGGTTGCAGTAAACCGAGATAGTGCCATTGTACTTCAGCCTGGGCAACGAGAAGGAAACTCTGTCTCAATCAATCAATCAATCAATCAATAACTAACTAACTAATTAACTAACTAACTTTCTTCAGTTACTTGATTGGGGTCTTGGGAGAATGAGATAAGCATAAATGCAACAGTAGCTTTTTGGAAGTAAAAAGAATCACTATATAGGTGAAAGTTTCCATAATAATTTACATTTAATTATTGGTCCTTAGAGCTTTAATTCTCTATCTACATTGAGCACCCAGCAGGTGGCATTGAGGGAGATGGAGGTATCAGTCTAATGCAAGAAATATCAGCATCTTAAATTTTTCTTTTTTAAAATTTAGAGATGCGGTCTCCATGTTGGCCAGACTGGTCTCAAACCCCTGACTTCAGGGGATCTGCCCACCTTGGCCTCCCAAAGTGCTGGGATCACAGGCGTGAGCCGCTGCGCCCGGCCCAGCATCTTAAAATTAAACATCCCATTCAGTTAACATTTATCCAGTTCCTACTTACACAAGGTGCCGTCTTGGCCATTGGCTGTATTAACATTGGTACTTTTTGCTCAACTATTTAAAAATGTAAAATGCGGCCAGGTGTGGTGGCTCACACCTGTAATCCAAGCTCTTTGAGAGTCCAAGGCAGACGGATCACCTGAGGTCAGGAGTTCAAGACCAGCCTGGCCAACATAGTGAAATCCCGTCTCTACTAAAAACAAAAATTAGCCAAGTGTGGTGGCACACACCTGTAATCCCAGCTACTTGGGAGGCTGAGGCAGGAGAATTGCTTGAACTTGGGAAGTGAAGGTTGCAGTGAGCTGAGATCATGCCACTGCACTCCAGCCTGGGCAACAGAGTGAGACTCTGTCTCAAAAAAATAAAAAAGTAAAATGCATTCTTAGCTGCAAAAACAGGTGGAGGGGCCAGATTTGGCCACAGGTCAGAGTTTGCCAACTCTTGCACTAAAGTATTAGGAGGTGAAAAGGCATTGTGTCAGCAGCTTACTGTCAAATCATTTGGGAAAAAGAAAGCTATTTGTACTGTTCTTGCCACCTTTTGGTATTATTTTAATAAAATTAAATTTAGTATCATAAAAGAAGTGAAGGGAAGAAGTGGGTACATGGAACACAGGGCTCTAATGTTCAAGAATGACAAAAAATGGTGCTAGCTAACGTTTGTTGAGTCTGGGACTCTGCCACATTCTTTACACAGTGTGATTTATTTAATTCTCAACCATTTATGCAGTGAGGATTGTTCATTCTATTTTCCAGTTGAGGGATCATGTTCGGAGAGATGCACTAATTTACCTGAAGTCACGTAGTTTTTAGTGACAAAGTTGGGATTTGAATCTTAAGTCTTCTGACTCCAGATCCCTAATGCTCTAGTCTGTTATTTATTGCTTGTAAACTATAGTTGGTGATGGTAATTAGTACAGTCACCTACTATTTAAGACAAAATTAAATACTGATAAAAGTGGAAAAGGTTCTACAGGATAGGGGAATGAGAAATTGAAGAGCTAGGAAAGCTTGAAGGAGGTGGCATTTGAACTGTTTCTTTTTGTTGTTGTTGTTTTGAGACGGAGTTTCACTATTGTTACCCAGACTGGAGTGCAGTGGCATGATCTCGGCTCACCGCAACCTCTGCCTCCTGGGTTCAAGCAATTCTCCTGCCTCAGCCTCCCGAGTAGCTGGGACTATAGGCGCACACCACCATGCCCAGCTAATTTTTGTATTTTTAGTAGAGACAGGGTTTCACCTTATTGACCAGGATGGTCTCGATCTCTTGACCTCGTGATCCACCCGCCTTGGCCTCCCAAAGTGCTGGGATTATAGGCGTGAGCCACAGTGCCTGGCTGAACTGTTTCTTTGAATAGAATTTTAATACTTGAGGTTGAGAAAACCCACAAAACTCTACTTAATTACAAAGGGAAAATGAGTAACTTTACAATGGCGCACCTGGTAAACATTACCTTAATGAAGTGATCAAAGTTACCATTACCACTAATGGGGCAAATTGAAATCATGTATCACCTGATAGGAAATGCACTGAGAAGAGCACAGCATCACTTCTATTATATTCCTATCCAAAACACATAACCTGAATTCATCATAAGGTAACATCAGACAACCCCAAATCAAGGGACATCCTTAAGGATGTCAAGTCATGACAGTCCTTGGAAGGAAAGACTGAAGAACTGTTGGAGATTGAAAGGGACTGAAGACATGGGCTGGGTGCGGTGGCTCACGCCTGTAATCCCAACATTTTGGGAACACTTTGGGAGGCCGAGGCAAGTGGATCACCTGAGGTTAGGAGTTTGAGACCAGCCTGGCCAACATGGTAAAACGTTATTTCTACTAATAATACAAAAATTAGCTGGGTGTGGTAGCGCACGCCTGTGATCCCAGCTAATCCAGAGGCTGAGATGGAGAATCACTTGAACCCGGGAGGCGGAGGTTGCAGTGAGCCGAGATCTCGCCATTGCACTCCAGCCTGGGCAACAAGAACAAAACTCCATCTCAAAAAAAAAAAACATGACAACCAAATGCAAACATGATGATCCTGGATTGGATCCTTGGGCATGTAAGGTATTGGAACAATTTGTAAAACTTGAATGGGATCTGTAAATTAGGCGGTAGTAACGTGTGAATATTAATTTTCTGATTTGGATGATTGTATTGTGGTTATGTAGGAGAATATTCTTGTGTGTAGCAATCACACATGCTGAGGGAGAGGTTGGCAAACTTTTTCTATTAAGGACTGGATAATATTTTAGGCTTTGTGAGCCATATGGTTTCAGTCCCAACTACTCAGCTCTGCTGTTACAGTGTGAAGGCAACTGTAGATGATGTAAATAAATATGCATGGCTGTTTTCCAGTGATTTTTTTTTTTTTTTTTTTTTGAGATGGAGTCTCATTCTGTTTCCCAGGCTGGAGTGCAGCAACACGATCTCAGCTCACTGCAGCCTCCACCTCCTGGGTTCAAGGAGTTCTACATCAGCTTCCAGAGTAGCTGGGATTACAGGCACGTGCCACCGTACCCAGCTAATTTTTGTATTTTTAGTAGAGATGGGGTGTCACCATGTTGGCCAGGCTGTCTCGAACTCCTCAGATGATCCGCCCACCTTGGCCTCCCAAAGTGCTGGGATTACAGGAGTGAGCCACCGTGTCTGGCCTCCCAGTGAAACTTTTTTAATAGACACTGACATTGAAATTCTTTATAATTAATTTTCATGCATCATGAAATATTTTTGTTTTTTTCTTTGAGATATTTTTTGTTTGAAATATTTTTCTTTGATTCTTAGCCTGAGGACCATGCAAAAACAGGTGGAGGGCCAGATTTGGCCACAGGCCAGAGTTTGCCCACTCTTACACGAAATATTAGGAGGTGATGAGACATTGTGTCAGCAGCTTTTAAATAATTTAGGAAAAAGTAAGTTATTTGTACTATTCTTGCCACTTTTTGATAATCAGTTATTTTAAAATTAAATTTAGTATTAAAAAAGTTGGGGGGGGCCTCTTTCAGCTTTGGAGCCCTCCCTCCCTCTTCCTTCTGTCTTCTTCCTTCTTGCCTATTAAACTCTCCGCTCCTTAAACCTAAAAAAAGAAAAAAGAAAAAAAAAGTAGAGGAAAGACTACATAAGTAGAGACAAGTAGAGCAGAGACTTGAGGAAACTACTGAAGTACTGGGCTTTGGAAGGAGCATTCAGTAGGTTGACGTCACTGGAAGGAGGTGTGTGAAAGGGGTGTGGCCTACCATAAGACTAGAGTGGTGGGGCCATCACATGGATGTCTTGATTACCTTGCCAGAATCTAACTCTTCTCTCCTTGCATTTTAGAATCATGGATACCGACTTATATGATGAGTTTGGGAATTATATTGGACCAGAGCTTGATTCTGATGAAGATGATGATGAATTGGGTAGAGAGACCAAAGATCTTGATGAGG